TCGATCAAGATGAGCCAAAATCCCCTAAGGGGTATGCCAAGCGCAAAGTCTCTTCCGCAGGTCATAAGCGTTCCCAATCTCTTGGTGTAAGTGCGATGAAGGCTCAAAATTACGGTACTCCTTCAGGACAAGATCGTAGAATGAGTCAACCAGTCCAATTTCAAAGCCCAAACAATGGAGGAGTCCCTACATACAGCACTACATTGAAGCGTCGTCGTCCTAATTCAAATGATGCTAACGCTCAAAATTTGCAATTCGCACCCGTTCCATCGACTTTTGAACGTCGCCGCTCATTCCAGCCCGCCTTCACTAACACCGGCTTCGATCGTATTGATGAGAACCATCAATCCCCTGTCGTTGACAATGATTTCGAGTTTCCAAGAGGTCGTACACATGCTCGTGCTTCTTCTGTCTATCAATCACCATTAGCTGCACCTGTTGCTCGTCCATTGGGAATTCATCAAAACCAAGTCGAAACTCAAATTCAACACATGGAGACTGGCTTCAGTATGAATGGTGGAAGTATGGGCATGGACATGGGTATGCAAGGCATTCAAGGTCGTGTTCGTCCTTCGCATCAACGTTCCCAATCTGATATGATGGTTGGCAGAAATGCAATGCAACCAAACATGATGGTTCCAAACCTTATGTCTTCCCAAAACTTTAATAGCAATGTTGAGTTCTCTACTCCTCAGTACCAACAATCAGGTTTTGCCCAAATGAATGACCCCCGTCAACAAGCTATCCGTCAAAGCACTTATAACATGCAACAACAGCAACAACAAAGTCGTCGTCAATTTGGTCAACAACAACAATTTGGTCAACAGCAACAATACCGTCAAGAATCTCCAGCTGGTAGCAGTGTTGCCAATAGCCCTATTGCAGGCCCAGTTGGTCAAGGTAGTAACTTCTCTACTCAGCAACGCTCCCAATCAAGTGGCAGACGCGCCCAACAAAATCCTCATATGCGAAACAACCAGATGTATGAGGATAACATCCCCAGACGCCGTTAATACGAATAAGGCGATTAAGTCTTATAATCTATTTCACATTGATTTTTGATTTTGATTCCTTTCGGTTTTGGGACGATTGTTTTCGGATGGGCGCATACAAATTGCTTTATGATACCCATCTACACACTTATGCTTGCTACTTGCTTTATCTTCTCGGTTTTCTTTAATAATGGTTCTTCCTACATCGGACTATCAAATTCATTCAAAAGTTTGCTTCGCCTTGCTTCTGCTTGATTTTGCATTATTTCCTTTGAAATGACAACCACGACTACAATCTGATAATTACGGTCTCCTTTTCAATACTCTCCTCGAAACTCCAATCAGACGATGATCATCAGCCAACTTCTTTAATCACATTGGTATCACATCGGTTGTCACTCAAAGATATCCTACAAATTTACAAATTCGGAGGGGATGGTTCAGATTACGTCTGATTTTTCGAGGAACATGGACACTTGCTTTATTTCATCTGGATGTGCTTCGTTAAGAGTCAAAATAAAACGTCTCAAGTGCTTTGATGATAAATATCTGGTCTTACTATCCTATTTTCCTTTGTTTTCTTTTTCGGCTCTGGAGTGCAGAGTTCAGAAAAAGCTTTTTCTTTCTTTCTGCGTGGTTTTATGGGAGGTTTAGATTGAGCGCATACATGAAATGAATGGATGGATGATGGGGATGGGCGTCAAAAATGCATGGTGGAGTATGGATTGCTTGATGATCAAGAAATGGGGCATATCAGTTTAGTTCTCTTTCTTTGACTCTTAATTTGCTTTGCATGCATGGTATTACAGCGGGTGGGATTTGGTTTATGATTCTTTTGAGTGGTGGGAATAGCGGCATAACAGTACTTGTGATGAACAGAGGAGTGATAGCATAGCATAGGACATACGAATAAAACCACCATCACGTATATGATGTGTAATTAATAGATAGGTAGATAGTGGAATTAAGAATTCTTGATTCAATTTTTGGGGCTGTTTGATTTAGTGAGTGATTTACATGAGACTTTGTGGATAATACGTTATGAGGAGCGGACTTGCAAGATGGTGGATGAAGTCATGGCATACGGGATATGAACTTTGTAGATAAACCAGAGTAAACAGAAATGATTTCGATAGAGGGCAATTGTGATGGAATAGAGTTTCTGGGCTCACATCATCGGCTTCATTAGCAGTAGCTCTACCAATGCGGAAGAAAATTCACGGCACATGAAACGGGACGATCGAAGTGGACATTTTCCGCCACAACATTCTGGTTGGAAACTCAAAATCAAAATCAAAAATCAATGAGAGGCAAAGAGATGTTTTCTAGACTGGATACCGTAACTCGAATAGTTTTATGCAGGTCTAAAACCGCGGAAACCTTTCTGCTCGGTGCTAAGTCTGTGTGCGGGGAAATATCTCCGGGGAGAAGGAAAGGGTGGTGAACTAGGAGGATCTGATATCGAGACACCAAGGGATTACTATTTGTACCGGTGTACCTCGACGATATCAAAAACTTCTTTAGATCTAGGAAGTGATAAATAAGTTCCCGGAATCGGAGATCTAGAACGGTCTTTGTGGGAATGCGAGAGAACTCATCTGTGATGCGTGGATAGGCTATACTCTGCGAATGTCCATCGATTTTTGAATAATTGCTCTTCACAGCATTAGTATAATGCGTCAATGTAGATCTAACTAAAGCACATCGAGAGATTAAAACTAGAAGACGAGGATTAGATCAATAGTTCAGAAGATAGATAGCTACCTAGCTTGATGATTCATTCGATCGGCTGATGTTGTGGGGGCGAAAAGGGAACGAGAATGTAGGAGGGCATGTACATCTACATACATGCATCTGATAACGCTTTGTCACTGGCGTCTGATTCCAATTTAAAGAAGTTTACCGGGTGCGAATCGAGGATGGGAGATGAGGAATTGAGGACTGTGCACACGTACGAAATGTGATATCCAATCCTATTCTAGACTCTCCTTTGTGTGCTCAAGATATATGTAAGTCATTACTTCGCCTCTTCACATCTTCGCCTCGAAGATCTCTGCTAATCTGCCTCGTATAGCTTGCGTGGCAGTACAGAACGTAACTTACAGTATCCTTCACATGGTGGAAAGCCTTGAGCGACTTTCTTACTACATAACACCCCGCTAGTTATCAGTATAAAACCCGATACTCCGAAGATCGGCGTGTAAAGTTTGCTCGCTGATCTGTTATTTGATATTGATGATTTGTATAGTGGCAGCCTTGTGATAGTTCGAGATGAGCTGAGAGGGGCTTGAGTATGCATATTGCGTACATCTCTATGCAGATGCGGGGCTCGGTAGTGATTGCGAATCGAAGCAAACATTGCTTTTCCGGAGCACTTGGTTGTTGTCTCGATGTTATATGATGGATATATGGATAAATGGTTCAACGTTGTGAAGGAAGGAAGGTGTTTTGGCTAGGTAGGTACAAGACAAGCTTGGCCTAGTAAGGAAGCCGTTGAACCCGTTATTATTCTCCGGCAATCGTTCTCAGATGTTTGAGATTCTACTGCTAGTGAGGAGAACAGTACTACACAAACATCGTTCTACCCTGATTTCATCCATTTATCCTTGATGTCTATCACTTCCCCTCACTCCCCCCTCACTCTTTCATCCCTTCCATTTTCACCAGCCCCAACCTTGGAACCCAAAGCAAGCACGCCACAGTGGCTCGGCACGTCACACGTGGAAATCACGTGTATGTCTTGGTATGCTCAGCGGCTAAAAGATCCGTTATAGCGGGGCTAACCAATCGAAAGAATCTCGTCTAAGATCTGAAAAACCATGTTCATGTTTCAAAATGCGTCGAACAATCCTGGTTGTTAATATATCTGACGGATATTATTTCTCCACATTAGATTAACTTTTTTCTGTAGAAATCCTGGGTATGATGATTTGGATGAATGGAAAAGAAAGGAATGGAGTCATTTGGGTGATTTGAATTATCAATGGAAATATATGAGAGGGGGTATATGTTGAGATATATGAATTGGTGAAAGGGATACGGACAGGCGGTCCGCCGGCGTATGTTCTATGTGCTGAGGAGGAGAAGAAGAAGAATAGGAATTGAAGTTGGTGATTAATGGTTGGATGGGAGAACCGACTATACGTTTCCATGGAGTGATGTCTGGAAATTGGTGAAGGGTTAGACATGAGAAGGGGGATTCAATAAAGCCGCCTCAAAAACGAAGCGATGACAGGTACCTATCGCTAATCCTTCATCTACCCCTTCATTCAAATATATACAACACACACTTACTCCTTTCAAAAGAAACAAACATATCCAACATCTAACATCCAACAGCCGAATTCCGAGTCAGGATTCTAGATTCCCCGTTTCGTTTTTTCAAGCTTCTATCCAATGCCAAGCACGGATAAACGCATCATAAACATAAGCAACAAACCCACTTCATGACCCGAATCAGATGAACTCAAACCAATTATTTTATATGAGACAATGATCATATCCGGTCCGTCCTGCCATAAACATCACCAAACTTCATCTAATTTCTTCATGAATCTTCCGTTCTATACCCCAATTATACAGCATGCATTGTTCATCTGACTTCATTCGGCGTTTACGCCTATTTGGAATTTCCTAGTCAGGAATTGCCTAGGTTTGGGCGGTTAACGATTCCATATTTGATGATGGCACTTTAATTTGGGAAATTGGAGGTACAAACACAAGTTTCCGAACAACGGTGCTTAATTTGTTTTGTAGTAACTACCTAGGTAGGCTTCACTCAAATCGCCCTATGAGAAAAATGTATGATTCTCTATAATAACTTTGGATTTCCTCTCTCTACGATTTTGATCTTTCCTTTGAACTTTGTCCTGTGTGCTATTCAGTTCGTTTCACTCTTTTAAACTTTGCTTTCTATTTTCTACATTCTCTTTCTCAAACACAATTTTTATATATCCAGCGGATATTTAACAAGGTACTTGAAGTATCTCTATAACAAAATCAAACACAATGCATTTTTCAAAGAAGGCTCTGGCAGCCCTTATTGGGTCTGCGACTAGCGCAAACGGTGCGATCTTGTGGGATGGTCGATTCGATTCTTCTTCCATGGCGGATTTGGAGGCTTGGTCATGGAGCAACGCTGTTGGTGATTACCAAAATTATATCGTGAGTATATTTTGTAGGACTTGAGTGGTATGAATGATATCTAACAAACAAATAGCATGGTACAGGTAACATTACCAATTATGTTGCTCTCGACAGCACTTACAAGAACCCTGCCGATTCTGGATCAGCCCTCGGTGCCAAGATCACTCTTGATAGTACTTCATACTGGGAAGGTCAAAACATGCGTCGTACCGAATTGATTCCTCAAACCTCCGCGGCTATTGGAAGTGGAAAGGTTTACTACCATTTCAGTATGAAGCGTGAAGATACCAATGCACCAAGTATCTACAGAGAACATCAAATCTGTTTCTTCGAGAGTCATTTCACTGAGATGAAGAGTGGTTGGATTAGTGGAGAGACTGGATCCAGTGACCCTCTTTTGAGATGGGAAGTCAGTGCGACTAGTCAATGGAGTACTAACTGGACTGCTGGTGTTTGGCACAACATTGCTTACGGAATTGTATGTTTGAATTCTTTCAATCTTTCTCATTATATACTAATATACTATTCAAGGATTTCTCCGCAGGCTCAGTTGAATTCTACCACTCCACCGGATCTGATCCTCTCACTCTTACCGTCCCAGCTGTTTCCGTTTCCGCCTCTTCCAATGGTGCAGACTGGCATTTGGGAGTTCTCGAACTCCCTGTCACTGGTCAAACCGATGGAACCGAAGATTTCTATTTCTCTGGTGTATACATCGAGAGTGGATCGCTTACCACTAGTGTTGCTGGACCAGGTGGAGCCGCGGTTTCAAGTTCTTCTTCTGCAACCACGTCAGTAGATTCTTCTTCTGTTCTTTCTAGCTCAGTAGTTTCTTCGGCTCCTTCTAGCTCAGTTGCTAGCTCAGTCGTTTCTTCTGTTCTTTCTAGCTCAGTCGTTTCTTCTTCTATTCCTTCTTCTAGCGCCGCTCAGGTATCCTCATCATCGGTCATTCAATCTTCACCAACATCTATTGCCGTCGCAATTCAACAATCTTCAGTTATCTCCTCCCCATCAAGCTCGACCAAAAAATCCTGCACAAAAAAGGTCGCCTCCTCTACTCTCGTATCCAGTGTCGTAGCCCAACAATCATCCACCAAGAAACCTTGCACAAAGAAGGCCTCCGCTACCGGATCTCAAGCTAGTGGATCCGTTGTTGAATTCACCTCAACTCAAACTGTCACCTCTGTCGATATCGTCCCTACTACCGTCTACATTACCGCCGGAGGATCAACCTTCCTAACTACTTCTTCTGTTTCCTCTACCTATACCTCTGAATCCGCCATTATCACCTCTTCTGTTCTTTCCAATGCAGCTCCATCTACTTTTGTCACTTCCAAGAAGTCTTGCACAAAGAAAGCCTCAACAAGTTTGGCAGGAAATGTAAACATAGCTGCTAGTTCTTCAGCGGTTCTAACTTCTGCTGGTGTTAGCTCGAAGCCACATACCACCATGACCATGACGATCACCCAAACTACTTCTACTACTGTCGCTTCGAGCGCGGGTGCTACTAGCACTGGAGGAAGTAGTTCGGGAGAGATTGCTTTGTATATGCAATGTGGAGGAAAGAACTGGACCGGAACTGGTACTTGCGTTAGTGGAAGTACTTGCAAGGCTCAAAATGATTATTATAGTCAATGTGTTTCTGCTTAAAGTAGATAAATGAAAGAGAGGTTTGAGGAGGATGGGAGAGAGGAGGAAAGTTTTATTCTATTGTATATAGTTCGAAATGTCTGTACATGTCTGTGTGTTTCGAAATGAATAGTCTGGGTTATATATATCTATCAAGTACATGCTACATTACATTCTTGCCCGTTCCAATTTTGTGGTGGTTGTTCTCGAACAGTCAATCTAGTGGACGAGTGTCTTTAAGAGACCCTTGAACCTTCGGGTTGTGGATAGTATGCTGAGATGTATCACTAGGTGTATATAGACTGACAGAATACTTCTCAACTTTCTAGATTTTAACAATTTCATCTTTTAATGGTTGAATTCCGCTATCTATCTATTGATGGTTCCATCTTTATTGAGGCGTTGTGACAATTCCTAGAGTCAGTCCGTACACCCTCTGGTGGATGGATACCTTATTGCAAAGAACTGTAAGAGGTATCGAAGTGACTTTACCAAATTTCTCATTTTTATCCAATTCACTTTTAAAAGTGAGTTCTATTAAATGTGACGTATGTCCTTAGTTTAGTTAACGATTACTAGCTCGTCGTCGCTTAGTGAAAGAAGTTGATTTTTTTCTCCCACAAAAACAATCCAAAAAATCGCGATCTTGTTTTGATTCCTTTCAATCACAACCCACATCCAAATTTCCTTCAACCACAATTACTTTCAACTCAATAATCATTTCCATTGATTTGGATACCTTTTGGCATTATCTATCTGCTTCTGCTACGTTCAGTGATGCTTTCTTTAAAGATGGATTACGAAAAGGCAGAAATCGCAGCCTTCAAGTGTGTTGTTGATACTCTTTATCTTCGTGGTTCTGAAAATGGAGAATTTGGTCAATTTGTATTTGACTCGTTCAAGGCCATTGCAGAGGAGCGTGCAGATACATTGTTTGCCGACAAGCCTTTCGGTGCTCTTTTCAACGTCGCTCCTCCTCCTCCTCCTCCTCCTCCTTCTCCAGAGTACGGCCTGCAAGGAAACGTTACAAACGCACCAAATCCTTACGCTCTCACACCTGCAAAATTGGAAGCCAGCAAGTAATCCAACTATCAACCACTTGACCGAGTCAACGCTTCAATCGGATTTTCTATACATGAGACCGAGAGAAACGTTATCTTTTTACACGTCAGTATTCCCTTCAATCAAATTCTTGAAACAATTGATCCTAACCCGCATAGTTCTAATAGTTTTGTAATCAAACTCAAGTTTTACGCAAATATCCTAGGCATGAGACCGAGAGAAATTTCATCTTCTTTCGAGCCACCATTCCCTTCGACCAGATTCCAGAAACGATCGATCCTAGATCGCACAGTCCTGATGGATTTGTGATCAAGCTCAATTTCACCAAATAACATGCTCGGTCTGTCTCAATTGCCCTTTGAAGCCGAAGATGGTTCTGAAGAAGACCCCACCATCAGTAAGGCTATCAGACTTTTCACTATCAACGATGACGATGAAGAGGTTTTCAACGGATACACAGTTGATAACATGCCAAACATCGTGGCATCAAATTCCTTCAGTTTATCATGTCACAACACCCGTTCTCACTTCCAATCTACGTCATGGATTCAAAGGACTGTGACTTCAAGAATTCTTTGATCAAATGTCTTCGTGGTATGCGACAAGAACTGCGAGAGGGCAATCCTTTCCGTGCATACCTTTCTCAGGATTTCATACTCAATTCCAACGTACCTACCATTGATTCGAGTACCTCTATTAAGGACACGAAATCAAGACCTAAAATCGTCACTCAGAAACAATTGCAATACTATACAAAGGAAAAGATAGTCATCCGCATTACTGTTAGCATTAAACAACAACTCGAAGATAGTCATTCGAAGATTATCGAGTTTTGTGCATTAAAGCAAGCCATTAGATTAGTAAAGATCATCAATGACTTGGCCTACTATGCTTTCTTTATAGCCCCTCAGGAATTGAGACTTCAACCTAGTAACGTATTGAAGGTTAATTTCTCCCCAAATAATCCCATTAGGAACGAGGACTGGAATCTCACCGTGTGCGAGTCCTTCGACTGGTCTTACCAAGGGGAATCTGTTGGGATCTTGAAGCGTCCATTGATTCCACTTAACAATGATGCCATCGAAAAGGACAAGAAGGCCTTCAGACCTCTCGTCGGTACAATTCTACCAGCTGTTGACGGTACCTTGGGCGAAGATGCTGGTCCCAGTATGGAGCGAATGCCAAAGATCAACTCGATGCCATCGAGTACCTTCGCCGGATCTCGCACCTGTCCTTCGTCGACAGGTCGTCATTCGCGTTTATCCCACTACAACAGAGACCAATCTCCTGATCAGTATGGCTGATAGGGCTCCAAAGACTTCAATTGTTCACGTTCAAGGTGACGGTGGTGCTGACAATGGTGATCAATAAATCAATGCAGTACACGAAGGCGAGATCATGGATCACTCGACTGAGTCCTGGATGAAATTAACCAGTACTGCTGTCAATGTTCATTTGATCGAGTCTCCCAAGTTTGCTTGTGGTCCTTGCGCATTACGCTGCTCAACTCCAAGCTCGTTGTTTCGAGATCATCACTGCCAATACACAGCAGTTGAATACTGGAAGTAGAAACGCTTCTGTAATTTGCAAAGCTTTCGATGTTGCTCGAAAGGCTAAGGCTTGTGTAAATATTAGTAAGAGTATGAATGTATGTTGCTACAATATTCTTTTGCATTGACATGTTCACGCTGTCGGTGGTGTACGTGCGTGTGCAATGTGTCTATGTTTGGAGCTAAGGAGGAGGGAGGATATAAATGCAGTTTCCCTTTTGTAACTTAGCTTTCTTTTCCTCTCTCTTCGTAACTTACAATAATCAATGGAACTTTTCAATTCTCATAGTTCCTTAATGCATTTGCTTTGTGACAAGACCTGAATCTTCTGAATGTTTCAAACCTTTCAAACCTTTCAAACCTTTCAAACCTTTCAAACCTTTCAAACCTTTCAAACCTTTCAAACCTTTCAAACCTTTCAAACCTTTCAAACCTTTCAAATCTTTCAAACAATCGGCATATACTATAGGGCTGTAAAAGCTGTCTTATTCTAGCTATGAAAGCTGTAGTGTTCAAGGTAGGAGACATTGCCTGTATTGAATATATAGATGCAACGTAGCTTCCTTATAGTATCTATATATTCTACACTATAATAAAAGTCAACAAACTCATAGGTACATTTATAGAAAAGCACACTTATGAAAATCTATCTCGTATTGCCTCATACCTCAGTCTTTCAGACAAAGATGCCATATCGAATCACCTCAATTCTTGCCGATTTTCAAGGAGCTGTATGTGGGAAAGAACGATGCAGGAAAGTCACGTGATACGTGAAATCACTCTAGCGTATTCCATATTAATCCACTGAATTCCCCTTTGGAACTTTGTAGAATTCTGTTTACCATTATTTGACCCTTAGTCTTCCTTCCAAATTCTCACATTATAACCCCACCATCTACCCAAGAACATTGAACACCTCAAGATGGAAAAGATCATCCCTTAAGAATGTTTAGCAAGCCATTGCGAAAACTGTGGTGATCTAAAATATATTCAAGCGTGCGTGTCGATAAGTCGGGATGGAATGACTTACGTTTTGTCTACTCAGTCTTATTCTGGACTATTAGACACCCTAGGTCGCTTCACTATCTCCAATTTCTAATCTGGTGGCAGACATTGCGAACATCGCCTCAGTCTTCAATCAACCACCTCCACCTTTCAATCCACCCCGCAAATCTACTCCTTCGACCGCTCTTAACTAGGCATGGTGAGAAATCACTCGAAGTCTAAAGAATCCTTCCGGTTTAAAAACAACCTTCCGAAAGTATTTGACCATAAAAGTAATGTCAAAATATTTTCAATGACAAGATGAAGTTGGAGAAGCTTGTCAGTTAAGGCACGCGCAAAGCAGATTTGGACGCTGAAGAGAAGATGGCTAATTCTATACAATTAGATAATACAGTAGTAGTTGCTAGTATCTAAAAGCTTGATTCAAGCTAGGTTACTAAAGTATAAGCTATTTTGTCCGCATTTTTTCAGTATATAACTTTATTAATAATAACATACTTAAGGAAATTTGTTAAATTAAATTCTCACTACAGTTATTGGTTGCAAAGTAATCCTTTACTTATTTTACAATGAAGCTTTTTTTAATAAATTTGAAATTTTCCAATATCAAAAGTTTATAGCAATTTTTTAATATAATTAAAATAATAATTATTATAATTTTCGAATTTTTCTCTTTGCTATTAGATATCGAATAATAATGTATAAACTTTCTAATAATCTTTTTATAAATTCTAAATCTTGATTTATATTTGTTATTATAATAAATATATATTTAAAAGTCAGAACTGAAGTTTTTGATCTCTGTTGTCACTACTCGATCAGTTCAGGTAAGACGATAAGCATTTTGGGCTTCGGAGATGCTGACTTTAGTGGTTCTTCGAGTACTTGGTATGGATTATCATCTATCGTACTGCGCAGATAGTGATTATTTTGACAAGGCTAGTAGTATCTGCGGTGAGACATTTTTGACCTTTGGATTCTCCAATATTCTAGGTAGCTATCTAGTACCAGTTATCTGCCAACTCTGGAGGAAGAACGATGGCTTGTTTGTCGAAAAACGAGGTTGATCTGGATCTGAATTGAAGCTAAAGTACTTACAATCATTCTCATAATTGCGCGGTTGATAGTCTGGATTGTCTAACAAGGCTTCCAGCGTGGCGGCGACACTGAGAGGCTCTCAGTGTGAGCCGTAGGTGTTGGTGGTTGGAAGTAATATGTGATCATGAGAGGCTCAACGCAGTAATTTCCTTGGCCCCCAATGCCTATTGAGGATTTTGGAGGTTACCTGAAGTTCATTGAAGTTTATTCAAGCAGATGAGAACATATGAAGCCGTTAAAACTTGACAGAATGGGGTTTGATGGACAGAGGCAATTTCAATCCATTCACCTTAACAAATAACCATCCAGGCGCCGCATTACGCCTAGAAGCTGTAGAACGATGGATTATTGGCTCTAAGAAGGACAACCGAAACTCCGGGTATTATCTATCAAAAATATGGAAAGAGGTAATGATCAGACGCACTTACGCTTCACAGAATCCTGTTTCACGAAAAGAAAAAAGCAGAGTACTTTCAATACTTTTGAATCTTCTGAAAGATTTGAGAGATTCACATCATTCTAATCATTCTATTTATTTCAATCCTTCAGATTTATTATCCTTCTGATTTTTTCAATCTTCCAAAATTTTCGAATCATCCACATCTCAAACCATCCATAATCCTCCTCATCCCAAGCATTCAATCTCTCTCTCTCTCCTTCTCCTCTTTCCATCTTTCGGATTTCATGTTCTAGACTTCAAACCATAAACTTTTGGATTATCGATATACCAACTCGCACCCTCCCCATTCCCCTCATGTCTCTCTCTTCACATGAATATATTTACTCATCCATCGATTCCAAATAATATATAACCATCTTCAAACTTTCATTCAGATACAAACCGCCATCCAAATCCAAACTTTCATATCAATCTCCAACCTTTATCTAAACTCAAACTCCCATTCAAACCCAAACACCCATCAACATCAACATCCAGATTCAAGTTCCTCCATCTACCTATCCACCTATCCACCAATCGCCAAAAAACAAAGGAAGACATAGACAACCCCTCACGTTCTCCTTCCTATCGACACGAAAAACATAGAAGAAAGAAAGCAAGGAAAAGATAAGACACATCGCATTCGAGATAGAGAGAAATATGGAAAGGGAAAAAATGCAACAAATAGAAAGATCGCTTTAGAGGAATATCAGATGATATTTGATTGAGTAAAGGAAGAAGGAAGATTGTGAGTCAGTGTGGTTTTTAAGACCATGTTCTCTTTCCTGAATGTTGAGGTATTTTAATAGTCATCAGAGGCCTTAAACTAGACGAAGTCAAATCAGCTAAAGTTTCGAATCCTCCAAGTATTGATGTGAAGAGAGAAACAAGACAAGTCCCATAACATCATCTTGTCACAAAATCACTAGGTAAGTCAAAAGTCTCAAATTTTTATAAAACCACAGATCTTATATTTCTAGTTTTCCTAATCTCTAAACGTGGATCTTCAACCAACCAACAAACTATATACCACGCCAATTGCTAATATATACAAAATTTGAACTTAAAACTCATCTTCCAGACTATTGCCCAAAAATTGGACACCATCTACAACCATCTATACTCGAAGTATTGACTTCTTAAGAAGAAGCAACACATTGAGAGTAGTAGTCATTTTGAACGACACATGTACCCTCAGAGCAAGTTTTTCCACCAGTGCAATTGCCATATAATGGGACGGAACCAGTGGATGAAGCAGCTGAAGAGACAGCGGCGGCAGAGCTAGCGGCGCTAGTAGCAACGACAGCGGAAGTAGCGGTAGTAGCTGGGGCAGCGACGGAAGTCTTAAGAGTGCTGCTAACCTTGCTGCACTTGGACTTGGTGGAGGAAGCGGCAACTGGGGCAGCGGCAGCGGATGAAGAGGCAACGACAGCGGCAGAGGAAACAACTGGTGCGACGGACGAGGCAACGGCAGCGGAGGTAGCGGCTTGTGCTGAAGTGGAAACAACGGCAGCGACGGCAGAGGAAGCGACGACGACTGGTGCAGCAGATGAGGCTGGGGCAACGGAAGCGGAGCTTGAGGCAGCAACTGGAGAGGAGCTATGGGCTGGGGCCTTGAAGGTAGATCCGATTGGTCCGTACTTGATGCTAGAGAAAGTGACATAGGCAGATCCGGAAGCGGCCTCAACGGTAGCAGGAACTCCAGATGAAGTGGCGCAAGATCCACGAGAAACACCTGGAGTAGAAGCATCCTTGTCGGTTGGGTAGTCAGAGTCGAGCCAGAGCATGTTTACATTGTAATCATCCCAGATGGAGAGAACAAGAACCATACCATCAGCCATCTTCTTACCCATAGCAGCCATACCACCATTCTTGGTGAAGTAATCGGTGTCACCGAAAGCAGTCTTTTGAGCAGCGCAGAAGTCATCAGTGATAGAGTTACCGGAAACACCAGAGATGTCAGAGCTTGGTTGTTCATAGACGACATCACCTTGAACGTAGAAGCGCTTGATCTCAGTAAGAGTACCAGTCTCAGTTCCATCATCAGTGATAAATTGAGTGACAACGGAGAAAGGCTTGGTGGTGTCAATGGTCATTCCACTTCCATAGAAGGTGGTGTTACCCATTCTGTATGGGTTGAAATCACATCCATCTGCATCACATACACCAGTATTTGAGACACAGTCATCTCCAGTGCAAGCGGTTTGAGAATCGACAGTACAGACGTGAGGGGTAAGAGCTTGGGCCATGGAGTTGGCTTCCCAGACATCGAACTCTGAGCAGCATGATCCGATATTACCAGTTCCAGAGTTAGCACTGTTGCTATCTGGGACCCATCCCTCAACGTTGGCAGTACCGTTGACGAATTTCATATCTTGAGGACATTGAGCATCGCAATAACCGGTACCGTACTTGGCACCTGCTTTGTTGGTGGAGTATTTGGACATTCCTCCGTCAGCGTCCATAGGAACGAAGTAAAGAGCACCGTTAAGACCGCAAGGAAGCTTGGAAACATCGACGGTGAAGGTGAACTCATTACCCAAAAGAGCAAATTCTTTGTAGGTAGTCTCAGAGTCCATGAGGTAGGTACGAGAACCAACGTTGCTTCCTGTGACGAAGCTAAGCTTCAAGGAGTCACCACTTGTAGTGATACCATAAGTTCCCTCGTAATCTGCACCATCAAGAGCACAGTTGGCGGTACAGGTAGCGGCATCTGGGCAAAGAGTGGCATCCCAGGTGTTACCAGTATAACAGTTGGTAGATCCGGAGGTGGAGTGGAGCCATCTCCAGTTGGCATCGAGAACGATACTATCGGCTTCATCGGTACATGTTCCACCAGCGGCACATTTTTGAATTGTCAAGGCGGGGTGAGTTTCGGCGGTTGAAGTTCCAACTTGTTGAGCGCCGGCGCCGAGAAGGAAGGAGAAAGTTGCGAGCACAGCTGCGGAATACATCTTGAAGAAATGTAAAGTGAAAATAAGGAATGTGAGTTGCGAAAGAGCGACAAGGATAAAAGAATGTAGAAAAGTACAAAGACTGTGATGATGGAAAAATTAATACATCGAGGTACTTCACCACCTTATATACACTTCTTCATTCTTGTAAAGTAAGTATAGGAGTCGAATAGAAGTGGATCTATTCTACCTTATTCGAAATAAACTTCTGATAAATTGATCAGGGAATTAGATTGAGCGGCATAGTTTCTAGCTCATTTTGGCCACTTAGCCAACCGCCGAACGTTCAATCAAGGTAGAAACACTATAGAAGAAATCTACCAAAAGGGATGAAAGGAATGACCACTTTTGATCTGGACAAGCAAAAAATCATAAGCGAACTAATCGTAATGGTTGACGAAGTGGATAGAGTGTCAACGGAGATGACAAGGCTCGATATTCATGTTTCCAAAGGAGTCGGTTAACTTTATTTGAGTCCACTAGTATTGAATTATGGAGTAACATTGTCAATTTGACTCCACCGAACAAGATCCTTAATCAATTTTGGAAATGAACTCTAGTTAACCCCGCAGATTTGTTCAAAGATCGGATAGATTGATGCTTGTCGTTTATGCGATCTGTTTTGGAGAGAAGCCAATCGGTGTATGCAATACGCTTTACGGATTGCTGCGGATACCCGAAAAACGTTAGCCTTTTCCCGTTTCATGTATATGAAATGCTACTGTATCCGAAGTTCCAAGCCTACCTTTGACCGATATCCGATGTTAATGAAACAAATCGCTCGCTTCGATTTTTCCTATTGGTAGATAGACGCGCTTACATTTCATCCAATTTCGTTTATGATGGGATTTTTGTTTTGAATAGAAAAGTTCGGAGAGGCGTAGGTTGGTGATAAGGAGAAGTTCATCGAATAAATGAACAGCCAAGAACTATTTTCCAAACAGCGCTTTCATGCAAGTGATAAAGGGGAACATGCAGATCCGTCATTGAAAAGAAACAATATGAAATAGATTAATTGGATATTTCAGGAACCTCAAATCAATGTACCATGCCATCGATGTCGGACGAATATGGATGATGTGGTGGATTGCTTGATTCAATTGAGTTGAAGAAAAATAAGAGGCTGTGCTGTGTTCAGCTGAGATGCGGATAGCAATGTGGGGTACTCCAAAGCACGTGATGTGTTTCCACAAGGTTAGTTCAATGGATGGATGGATGCCATAGTTTGTGAGCCACAACGCCACATCTCAATCTCCGAATACGGGCTAGCCTAGGTACCCGACCTCGGGACCCTTAAAATTTCCATGGGAAGAGTCCAGCCATGGGAAATCTCCCAGCTTCTCACCGTACACTGTTCTTTTGATATTAAAAAGCCATCCAAAAATACCAAAATCAATATTTCATTTCCTCAAGTCTCCATTCGTACACCCAAAACCAATCAAAACCTCTGAATAACCTTAAATGCACAATTAAACGAAAAGCAAATGCGGTTAGTCCTCGAATCCTTTTTGGAAGCTGACTCTAGGATTATAAGAAGCCCTGGTAATCCTACGCCTAATTGTTTGGTTTATAGTGCTACGACTCCAGTATGATGTAAGAAATTTGAGTGGAAAGAGGTAAAGGGGGCATACACGTGGGTTGGGGTAGGTTTTGTACTCGATGAGACAGGGGAGGTTTGCATGAATACCTGGTAGTGGTGGAGAGCCGGACTCCGTTGAGCCGATGAGCCGTATCGTAAGTCTTACACATGATCTTATATGAGGTATATAACATGCGTAAGTCATAACGGTGATGGGGCATTCAGGATGTACCACTATTATCATGTTTACGTTCAAGAAGAAACCAAAAGCACCAGATACATCAGATTGAGGAAAGGGGTTTTATCAAGTTTAACCTAACTTTCTCCATCTGAGTTCTACTCAATATTCTTCTTCCACGCAATACCTCCCCTGAGAAAAAGTGTCACAAAGGTCTTACTCGATTTCTGTTTTTTCAAAAATGCTTTTGTTCAAAAGAAAGTAAGATGCGTAGAACTAGAGATATATCCTTGGTGGTGCTTAATCATATATGATCACGCATATACTTGAATCGACCACAGAGGAGGAAAACTTGTAGTACCTAGGTATATGGAGATGTTGATTCTGAAGACCAAAAAGAAAAGGTGAAAAGCTTGGAATTGAAAGAGTGATGTTGAACGTTCAGATTCGAAGGATGTATTGAGCCGATTTATAATCAAGGTGACCCCCATCCGCTGGTGATTGTCTAGAACTCGTGTTAGCTTGGTACAAAATTTATGTTCGAGAGCCCACGCGCATTTCATTCCGTATAAAATTTGGCATCATATCGACCACAACCCTACTTTAAATCCTTTGACAAAGGATGACTGACTACTTTGCGCATTGTATGTTCGCAGACGCTTGACAGTCAACCCATCGATCCCCACTTCAAGAACTGTTCGCTTGCTGTTGGATTTACAGGAAGATTCTTGAAAGCATTAAACGAAATTTGCTCTGGTGCGTGTCGAGGTGTGGAAGCAGTGGCTTCACCATTGACTGTATAGTTTGAAGTGGTGTTACCGTGAATGATAGTAATATTATATTTTTTGAACGCAGCTGGTATTGTCAAAGTGATTTGTGGCTCTGTAAATTGGTTAGCGTCAATCTAGTCCCGGTCTCGTATTGCGAAGCCTGAGAGCAATGTAAGATCTTACCTTTGGAGGAACCAGTAGACATATCTAAGCTCATAATGATGTTCTCCGACGGAGGAGCTGTTGTGGCTACATTTAATACGTTTTCACCTAGGAAAGAAATGTCAGTATATCCTTGAACTCGTATACATTATATATTGACTAAAGATGTGGTTGGATATACCTCTGGATCTTGTTTGTTGGTCTTGGTATTGCATCTTGCTGCGAGGTGCACCTTCCAGAATTGAATCTAGGTCTCCTATCTCGGAGTCCGAGGCCAAGGCCTCTGTAACGTAAGACTTTAGAGTATTTCTTTTTCGTACTCTTGGGATTTTCATTTCAGCATGTCTTTTACCTTGAAGATAGATGTTAGTACTAAAATAAATGTGAATACAAAATTGTAAGTACGGTTAAGCATGCATACCTTTGCGCTTGCTAGAATGCGAACGGTTATTCGGAGTAAGAAGTTCACTTCCAGTTTCTGCACATTCCCCTGGCATATTAGTTGTATAATATTCCTTATCCAAGGAAGTTGGTGAGTCTAGTCTTTCCTGCTTGGAAACAGGGGATAATGGATTCTCTGGATTTCCCAGTCCTGGCAATTCGGTGCGAGCGCAAGGGTCGGAGGAATGCATATCGACGGCGTGCCAAACGAATTTTCTTATAGAAATGATAAGAAATCTTTAACAAATTGCGGAGGCTTTCTAGACAGAAAGGAAATTTTGAAATAAGGAAGTTGAAAGACCTCGACTCTTATTCAAAGTTTAAACGAATTCTCTTGGAGTAAAATGCAAGACGTCGATCTATCAAGATTTGAAAGGTACTTGTCGAAGAAGAGTTGCAATAATTGACCAATTCTAGGAGGTTCAAAAGATTCCAAGGTAAATGAGGTTGCAATGGTACCGTCGCGGGAAAGTTGAAGAGCACGCTAGTGATATTTCTTTCGTTTACCTTCCTTGTGTACTTTATTCACTTTCATGATTAGGGTCTGTTAGCTACCTAATAATTATCGAAGGTGAAAATATTTGCATGAAGACCAAGTACCGATGAGCCAGAAATTGCAAGTTGTCGTTTTTTGTGTCTGATGCCTGAGATGAGAGAAGTGACCCGATCCTAAGACGAGAAATATGCATGGGAGTTTGACATGTCTGGAATTTAAACGAAGAGAATTCGGAGCGTTTGAAGTATTGGTATATGCCCATACAACAAAAAGAGACTGAAAATTAGCACATATCATAAGAAAGGAGCAGTTGGCACAGAGGTTGTATCTTAGAAATTCTTTCTCATTTTATTCGGCCTATAACAAATCAGAGAGTGAGACAAGAGAAATATCTAATGATTACCTCACCAGCTTCGAATTTTTCAAACAGATCTAGAGATCCAGAGATAAATCTGTCTTCCTATCGTTCTCATTCGCTACAAGTAAGTCAAACAGGCCGAAGAGGATAGAAAAATGAATGCGATAGCGATTATTCAAGTTTCGTAAGTGTATCAATGATATCAGTTGACTGTCGATTGAAGATAACCAATGCTCGAAAATGAAATTATTTTCTATCTTTCTTGGTATTTGCCCACAGCAGCATGAGGATTCCTGTTGGCGTCGATACTGTTTTCAAGTTGCTTTGATGCAGACTATAGAATCACTAAGTGATGCACAATACTCTTTCCATGACCTGAAAAGAGGATCGCTGATTTATTTTTGCTCTTTCTATCACACATCGCAATCACTCTCGTGATGCACAGAGGCTTAGGTCGGGAAGGTCGAATGTCGATTATCGGTCCTTGACTCATAAAGCTGCAAACCCCCTGACGACTTACCTATCATTGTATGCTGGAATTGAACCATTTAAGCACTCTGGTTCTGGGTTGGACATCCTGAGATTGGCTCCAAAGCTAGCGTTGAATTCCTAGATTCGAGTTAACAAGAATGGCAGAAGTATCAAATTTAGTAGCGAGAATATTTTCCTATCATAAACATCTGATTACCCAATGGCCTACAAATCCGTGATGCCTTTTGAACATAATACAAACACGTGTACATTCCTCCAAGTACAGTCTCTGACGGGTTCGAGATAATGATGCCTAGGCAGAGTCTTTACATCATCTAGTAATAGATAAAAATCGAAATAGTATCTTACATAACAATTCAGAGATTCAGTGCAGGGTGAACTGCGATCTTTTTTTTTCTTTTTAAAGAGTGTCTTTTTATTTTGTTATCCAATCAAGATTCACACATTCAAAAATGCTACGAGATATGTCAATCCAGGCTATTAAGAATGACGGCCCAAATCTAAGTTCCATATCGAGGGGTGCATAACGCAAAGATGAAAGGTTAGCGAAGAACATCCTCTTGAAACTATATTGACTTGGAAGCTTCAAAACGAAGGGTCTCATGATATCTTGAAGTCAATTTCCAGTTAAGAATTCATGGCAGATGATGTGCAGTGAAGGGTGATATCAAATGTAGTTTTGGTAAGAGCGGCGGAGAGGTAAGTTGAGATCAAAGGTCAGATCGCCGGAGAAGTGGAAATTATCATTGAAAGCGTTAAAGAAGACGTTGGATATGGGCTTATGATTATGAAATCTTAGCTGGAATGAAACAGATTAAAGTAAATCCAGACAGAACACAGGAAGAAAATAAATGCTAATTCGGACTGCAATGTCTACATATATTTCACCGCCGCAAATTAGATGTTTAAATAGTCGATATAAATTTGCCAATTATCCAACTGTTATTTGATTCATCTGCTAGACTGGTCCGGACAACGATGAAGCGGATAAAGTGTCGCGCAGAAGAGTATATTGGGTACTGGACATGACTATATCGCTAGTAGATGAATATAAAAATGATTTATACGAAGTGTACACAGAATGTATAGTTGAGTTCATCTAGTAAATGGATTCACAACTCAAAAAGCACCTAAGCCAACTACCTAGTAGATACGCACAAGACATGACTAAGTAGAACGATGACGATGATTACTATAACCTTGGAAGGAAGAATGGAACCTTAACCGGCACTACCGTTTTCGGTTCGGGAGCTAACTAGGTAGTTCCATTTTCAATCGTACAACACGTGACTTTGAAATACCCAATGGGGAAATTCCTTTCAACAATGGAAATGGGATGAATCAGGATGCAGGAGAAAGCTTGCTGAGCTTGATGAAAACCGCAAAAGTATAGCAGAAACTGTTGAAATATGACGAATAACGAACACGTGCGACTTTCCATGCACAACCAGCTGGAATTGTGGCCTTTTTCACAGAAGGAAACATGACACGATACATACCTAGGTCTATCAGATCTCAACACTTTCTTCCAACATACCAATCCTCCTCCATGTTATTTCATGCATACTTTGGAAGTTCGACGGTGAACTGCGAATTTGCGCAGTAGGCGTGTTCATGTTGACAACAACGTCTCGTTGTTGGCCTTGCCCAGAATGTTCTAGAGTACCTAGTAGGCATGAATGTGTTGGTTCAAATGCCCGTCTTCATGCTGGACGTGTACGGTGCCATGCTATTGGAGGAGATTTGAGTATGAATCGCGATTCATATACAAGGAGGTGATGCAGGTCTGTGATCGGGTTGAGGATATAACTTTGCTCCTGGGGATGATAACGAGATTATATAAATAGTAAAATTCAGACAAGATAGATATGGTTGGTGGTGATCGTTTGAAAATGATCCATTCATCCATCAATGATTGATCAATCATTTCGTTGCCCCAGGTTTTCTTTGGTGGTGGGTGAGTGATGTGGTTCTGATGTGGTTCACCGTTCACCATTGTGGTCGAGTGTGCTTACTAATGTCATGGATTATCGGTCTTCAATCGAATCTTCCACCGAAGAAATCGAAAAGCGCAAGGTAACCTTAACCTATCTTGGATTTCAGCCTCTGATAAACTTTAATGCTTAATCCTACACAAGTAAAGAGCTATCAACCACATCATACCTTCTTCTAATCTCAACACATACAATCCCGGTGTGCAGGTTTCGCCTTTTTACAATTCCCTCTACATCAGAACATAGAAGTAGATCCCCGTCGCTATCGCACATAACTTTCCATTGAGCGCGGGCGCTGCATCATACCCCGTTTGGACGCCACTGCATGATCTGTCACGAATTCTTTCCCTTGACTACTTTCCTAAGATCGCCCATCAACCCGTCAAACCTCAGCCGATACGTTTAATAGCTCTTCGAAATGGGTTCCCGCCAACGCAGAGATTTGGTTGCAAGACGAAGGCGGGTTGAGGACGAAGGCGATGATGAAGGAGCTCAAGATATTGCTGAACTTGATGATGACTCTTTGTCAGAAGGCTCGATAATTAGTGAGGATGAAGATATTCACGAGGGCGACGAACCTATCGATGGCGGCATTGCAAATAATGAGACGTCCGAGTCGAACAAGATGAACGGGAATGGATCTAAGCTGAATGGCGGACAAACAAAAGCTAGCAATGGTACTACTGAAGCTTCAAAGTTCATAAATGGTGCCAATGATATGGAAATGATGGTTAACGGACCCAAAAGCTCTGAACCGGTACAAACAGTACAATTTGAAGACTTTCGAGAAGACGAGACCAAAGACACCCCTTCACCGGTTATCGTCACATCTACTGCTCAAATGGATCGACAACAAGAACAGCCTCATGAAAGACGGAGGAGAGAACATGAAGAATACAAGAAAAAGAGAGATGCGGATCCAGCGTTTGTGCCAAATAGAGGAGCATTCTTTATGCATGACCATCGTCATGCTGGTCCTGCGGCGAATGGTTTTAGGCCATTTGGCAGGGGCAGAGGTGGTCGGGGTCGGCCCGGTATTGGAGGGCCATATGCACCTATCAAGTATATCATCATCATCTCTTTCGTGCTTTTGCAATTTTGCTAACGTTATATAGTCACATTTCACAACCTCTAGAACCCACCGATGTTCAATGGGCACACGACATGCACGAAGTAATAACTGAACCCGTACCAATATCTACAAATGGAGCTTTGAATGGATCCCAAAGATCAGCTCCAGCTCCAAAATCCGCACCTCTCAATCGATCACTTTCCACTACGAAGCATATTGGAAATGTACAAATCCGTGTGTTCTTTGGAGATATGGAAAACCCTGTATTATTTCCTGGAATTCCAGTGAAGCAATATACGCGTCTACCTGATCATCGACCACCACTTCGTCGAGATAAACCTGTTCGAATGTCCTTACCTGACCATCCACCACGTTACATATTCCCTGCTGTCGATAGGTCATTCATATTCATCCCAAGAGCTATGCGACCTAATCAACAAGGGTTTGGTGGACGTGGCAGAGGCAGAGCTGGTCTTGGATCCGTCGGTGGTTATTCGAGACGTACAAGCGTTTTTGGTGGTAGCGTTTACGGAAGTACTCACACTCCAAGCGTTGCCATGAGTCGTCGTTCGTCCCTTGCACGAGAGGTCAATCGAGAAAACCTTGTTTCACCCAGTGGATCAACAATGTCTAGGCCACAAATCTCGATGGATTCATCAAGGCCTGTGGTAAAATTACCGCCATCAAGCCAAGCTGCACAACCTCAACAATTTCAGGCACCTGAGTCTGGAGTAGCTAATGGATCTTCACAAGTCTCTTCTCTCGACAATGTTCCACAACCTCAAACCTATCCTCTCCCCCAGAAGCCAACCCTTCGGGAAAATCGTCCAAATACAATTCCAATGCATCAACCTCGACCTCAGAAGACCGTCTCTGTGGCCGACATTGAATCACCCGCATCCATGTCATTCAATCCTCCCCAGCAAAGCCAACAGCCATTTCATCAACAAGTTCCCATTCAAATCAATGGAAACAGTTATTCGCATGATAACGTTCAACATTCCCGTCAACCATCCTATCCAAGTCAAGCTTCAACTGGTACACCATTATCACAAATTCCAGAAAGAGCTATCCACGCACCAGCTTTCCAACCCAACCCTTATCAACAACCAGCCTCCAACTACTACCCACAAACTTACCCCGTTTTGCAGCCCCCACAAGGATATTACTACCCTCAAACCTTTAATGCACCCATGGCCTCAACAGTTGGTACGACTCCTTTTGTACCCGCACAACAGCAGCCACAACAAACATATAATCCACCTGCACCTCAATCCGCTGAAGCTTCGACTTCACAAGCACCTCAAAATTTGGTTGCTCAAGAAGTCAATGGAATGGTGTATTATTATGATGCTGCGCAAATTCCGGCTGTTCCAAGTTTTCCAGCCGGCTATCAACAACCTCAACAATATCCTATGCAACAAGTAGGAGGTGTAGTAGGAATGGGTGGTATGATGACACCAAGTCCGGATGGTTTCTACTATCCGCAGCAACAAGGTGTGGTGTATTACACACAATAATGACTGCTATAACTACTCCCGTCAAAGCCTGCTTTCACGATTTGCAAGTCACACCTTTTTAGTCTCTCTTAATGCCTTCAGCTATTTTATGCGTATTTTCTGAAGCGTTTGCTTTTTATCGTCTCTTGTGGTTATGAATGCGAAAAAAAAAAGATATATCATTGTTCATTCTTCAAAAGCAACGGCTTGACTTCTCATATCATGTTTTTGTATTAGGGATGGCAATTCAATTCTTTTGATCTGGTTGGCATGGTTTTTTTTGGTTGCAAGTTAGAGCTTCTGCTATGCTTTTCGGGTCTACCCTCTTGCATTTCAATCTTTTCGATCATTCGGTCTCTGATTCAATTTTCTCGTCTTGGTACGGTGTATTTTCTCAATGATAATGGCCCCTGATGTTTCGATTGGAACAACGAACGAATGGATATCTCTTTCGGGTGGACGTACGGTTGTGGGATGGCCTTCTGCATTGGATCGAAACTTATGTTTGCTGTTAGCGAGCGGGTGGAGTCATGGATAGGTTGCGATAGCAATAGTAGGAGCGGGAGTTGTCAAGTTATGAAGTAGTGGTAGTAGTATTACATAGCAAGAATTATTGTGAGTGGATGAACATGTTCCCGGATTGAACGAGGAATGGATATGTTGTCATGTCCACTTACGATACATCAATTGAATTACCCTTCTGATGATTACCCCTACAGTCTCTTGTGTTTTGCAATCTTTATGGTGATCGCCTAGTAGTAAATTGAACCTGAGAAAAGAATCATCAATACCAAAAAGCTCCCTTCTGTACAACATGCCCATGTCATAATATCTAAGACTGTAGGCTGTCGGTTGTTCAAGGAGTAAATGGATCGGATAATAATTACCAGCCTCCCTTCGTCAGCTCGCTTCTTCAGTCAACTCGGCAATTATGTGGAAAGCTGACAATATTCAAAAATTACAATTACTACACCTGCGAGTAGAGGAAAATAATCAACGTGGCTGGGTTTCCCATATCTTCATAGATGGCTATTCACTACCTAACTAGAGCGGAGGGAGTTCAAGAGTTGCTCCTCATGTCTATCTAGCCTTTGACGTTATCGACCAAAAGGAGGTTCAGAAATGTGACATACCTGATGGTGAGTTTGCTGGCTAGTTTATTGAGCCATTTGAATAATGTCTGATTTAGGAAACATATAAATAATTACTGAATGGATGGCCATCTGGGTCTTCATATCACAGTATATGGTTGATGATAGCGAGCTTCGCAGTCTTGTCAGATAGCTTCTTTGGGGCTTGCTACGACGTTTTTATACTGAATCGCATGGCTGCAAGTTTGACATATCATCACTTTAAATTTTCTAGCCATTGACGCCTATATATAGTGCTTAAATTTCGTTCATTTGTTATTGTATCTTTATAACATACTTACAGCGAAGATCGTAAAGATATCACTATAAACAAGGATATTTCAATCCATTCATCTTCCCGCCCAGGATTCATAATTTCATTTGTCCAAATACCCATTTAACCTGTACTCTTAACTCCGCCTATTTTCCCATAGCAAAGAAAAAAATCTATTCCATGGCGACATCCTTGTCTCCTGCCGAATCTTCCAAAAGTCCATCAGAAACTGGATCCCAAGACCTCGCATTTCTTGGCCACATTCTCTTGTACAGACTAACTCCCACGGCATCTTGAGGATTAATCTTACCATCAAATGTCGCCTTGAAGTATCCATGGGTACCCAAGCTCTCCTTGATGAAACCACTTCTTCCTCTCTTAGTCCATAATTGGAGTGCCTTGAACCATTCCACATCTTCGCGATTGAAGAACATGTAACGGATAGTAACGAGTCTCTTGTGAATTTTGTAAGGGTGACCGGTCAAAATGATACGCTTGGCAATAATTCGAGAAGTAGATGGTGGTAGTGATGTACCAGTACCGATCAAAAGGAGAGGCGCGGAAGATGGCGCGGATTCGGAAGGTTTTTGGAAGAACAAAGTTGGAATAGAACCCCACGATAGAGGTCCAATGAAGGAGGCGACGGTTGATTGACCGGGGTGGAGGAAACGATCGAATTTGTGAACGTCATTGGGGGTGTTGCCACCTTGAGAGAAAAGTGGGTTGACAACGAAGCGGCGAGGTCCGCATTGCACAATCATCTCGCTCTTTGATTTGACAGGAGAAGGATAATCAGAGCTGAGGGTGAAATTGATGTTCAAGACAGCCTTCTTGTGTTCGTGGCGGAGAAGAGAGAATGCACTCAGAGGTTGAGAAGCATTATATGTTGATTGCAACGAACTAGGTACGTTACGAAGGTGGATATGAACTCTAGTTCCTGCAGCCACTCCACCGACTAATGCCTCACGAGTGACTTGGCTACGAGATGATTTGTAGTCGGGTACTTGGAGTAGGCGTCTCCAATCTTCTGGTTCATATGCCCTGTCTTCAGCTTCCTCCCAAGGACTGGTGCGCAGACTCTTTAGACCACGGAATTTTGCAAGACGCTCACGTGCTAAAACATTTGGGTGAAGCTCAATCTCATCTGGGAATTCCCGGTCTTCTTCTGCCTCGTCGGTTTTACGTCTTCTGAAAGCAGCTAGTTGCTCTGCCTCCGCTTCATCATCTGGATTGGGATCCAAAAACATCTCTGATTGTGGATATTCTGATGGAGCAGCTTCTGTAGGCTCTCTTGGTGCAAGACCTTCAGCTCCATCTTGAGGAAGAGCAGGTGTGTCCATTGTCATTTCTTCGTCATCAAAATCTTCCATATCGGAACCTGAATCGGAGAAATGGTCTCCGAGAAACCATGCTGATTGATAGTTGGATGTACCTTTAGGAAGTCGTTTTGGAGCAGCAGGCAAATGCGTCTCATCGTCAGAGAAGTAGTGGTGATCATCAAGAAGTACACCACGTTTCTCTGTTGGGGCAACGGACATGGTGGCATCCTCATCGTCCTCCATCATAATTCCTTCAGGCGCAAGTTCCGCGAGATCATCCTGATCTTCACCGGGTGTTTCAAGAATGATCTCATCGTTAGAATCATCCGTAGCCATTTCATCTGTTCGCCTCTTTTTAGAAGCCAATGGCGCAGCTGTGATCTTCTCAATCTGGAAATCGCCCCAGTCTCCAACTGAGATTAATCTATCCGCCTTCAATCCCTTGCCTCTGACAAAACCAGTCAGTACGACATTCTCCTGCTCGTTTGTTGGCCATTGAACTTCATCAACAAGCATCCAACTTCTTTCTTCCCTCCATCGAATTCCTTTCGGGCCTAGTGTGCATAATGATCTCATCAAATTGGCGCATTCTTGTCTTGAGTCTAGGTTGTGTACTTTTTCTTGGTCCGGGTGGAAGTGCTGAACGTATGATTTGAGCGATGAAAGAATTCCAGGTCTTCGTTTGGGTGGCTCAATCTTGTCAAGTCCTTGTACAACAGTCAAAGTAGTCGACAATCCTTGGCTTTCCACACTGCGGATGATAAGTTCACCCAACTCATCAACTTCTTGTTCCGGCGACAAAATAAAGACTACAAAGTCCGCCACTCTACTGGCATTCATGCAGCTGAACAACTCTTTCTTGATGATAATATATTGAACCTTCTGCTTGAATCTGTCGATATCGGCACGCACAATTCCTTCTTCGGGCACATCAATCTCAACGTCCAGACTTCCAGTCAAACTTCGAACTGCAGCTGCAGCATTTGCATCGTCGCATAGTGGTACGAGAGCTACAATTCTTGGTGCACCATCACGTCCTTGGAAAACATTCAAGTCCCTCTGATGTTCCTTATGTTTTGTATTCTGCTTTTGACGGGCTTGATTACGACGATCAAATTTCGACATAAGTTGTTGGTGAGGAGATTTTCGGTGACTCAAATCTTGGATCTTGCCTACGAAGATTAATATATACCCATTCCATGTACGGAGCGGAGCTGACCTTTTGACAATTCCTTCAATGCACCTTTAGAAGCCTTTCTTGACTTGAAAGCTTTATGGGTCGTTTTCGTTGTACTCCGATGGGAGTGCTGTCCGGTAGGTGCTGGAGCCATATTGCCGTTGCCTCCGGCTTTAAATCTGAAAGGAATAGAAGCCAGATTGGAAATTTCAAAATCCAATTTTTCAAATTTTGACTCAACAAATGGAATTTATAAGAATTGGGATCGTAACGTGGGGCTTGAGATTTTTTTGTGCGATAAGTTAAAGTTCTTATCTTTTTTATCGCTTATCGTTGAGACTACTTTTTTTGCCAGCGGCCGCTGGTTCCGCCTTCAGAATATTTTCTACGGAACTCATTCGTAGTTCACAAATATTTGCGCTCTCTTGGAATAGGTAATCGAAAACAGTCAATTTTACTTCGACCAAGAATCACTTGTCATATAAACATGGCAGACACAATGGAGTTGACAGATAATTCTCATTCGAATGGAGCGGTACCAATTAAACGAGCTAGAACAGAGCTGGCCACCACAGAATCAGAGTCGCAGTCGCAATTACGCCGTCGCAAGGAAGCCAATAGAGCATATGGAAGAGGAGGAAAGATTCCCATACATTCAATTAAGGATAAAAAGCTTAGGGGAAATCTTAAGAAGCTTGAGGCACGAAACAAAACTGCGATTCTTAGAGCAAAAGATGCCGAGATTTTACTTGAGAACGAGGATGGATTCTTAGAACCAGAAAACGAATTGGAACGAACATACAAGGTCCGACAGGATGAGATTAAACAGAGTGTACCTCTCGAGACTGCAAAGAAAGGATTCGAGCTTAAGTTGGATCAATTAGGACCATATGTGTGCGACTATACAAGAAATGGAAAGGACCTTATACTGGCTGGTAGGAAAGGCCATGTCGCGACAATGGACTGGAGGGAAGGAAAATTGGGATGTGAATTACAACTTGGAGAAACTGTAAGAGATGCAAAATGGCTACACAACAACCAGCTTTTTGCAGTTGCGCAAAAGAAATACGTTTACATATATGACGGAGCAGGAGTTGAATTGCACTGTTTGAAAAAGCACATTGAGGTTACGAATATGGAATTCCTTCCTTACCACTACCTTTTGGCTACTGTGGTATGTAAAAGACACTCCTTTCAACTGCGTGTATCTAACCTTTTTTAGGGAAATGCCGGACATTTAAAATATCAAGATATCTCAACCGGTCAATTGGTTATGGAAATGCCCACAAAATTGGGATCGCCTACCTCTCTAACTCAGAACCCTCGAAATGCCATCCTTCATATGGGTCATCAAAACGGAACAGTCACTTTATGGTCACCTAATTCTACAACGCCACTAGTCAGATTATTGGCACATCGTGGTCCAGTACGATCATTGGCCGTAGATAGAGAGGGTAGATATATGGTTTCTACGGGACAAGACATGAAGATGTCCGTCTGGGATGTTCGAATGTTCAAAGAAGTCAATAGTTATTTTACACGACAGCCAGCATCTTCAGTTGCTATCTCTGACCGAGGATTAACAGCTGTCGGATGGGGCACCCAAGTTTCAATTTGGCGGGGTCTTTTCTCCAAAAACTCTCTAGAACAGGAGAAAATACAAAGTCCGTACATGGCATGGGGTGGCGAGGGTAAACGAATTGAGCGTGTACGTTGGTGTCCATTTGAGGATGTATTAGGAACTTCACACGATTCCGGGTTCTCGTCGATATTGGTTCCGGGTGCTGGAGAAGCCAACTTTGATGCTCTGGAGGTTAATCCATTCGAGACCACTAAGCAACGACAAGAGGCTGAGGTGAAGTCGTTGCTCAACAAGCTCCAACCAGAAATGATCTCATTGGACCCCAATTATATTGGTAATCTTGACCTGAGATCTGATGAGCAAAGAAAGGCAGAGAAAGATCTAGACAAGAAGCCAGAAGATCCAATGGCTAAAATTAAGAACAGGGGTAGAGGTAAGAACAGTAGTTTGAGAAAGTACCTGAGAAAGAAGAGTTCCAGAGGTATTATAGATGATCAGAGGGACAGAATTGAAGAATTGAGAAAGAGTCAGATGCAAAGGGAGAAGAATAGGCTAAAATCTACCGAGGAGGAACTTGGACCAGCACTCGGTCGCTTCGCGAAGAAAAGTGCTTAGATAATTTGGTGCATTATTGTTGATATCACACACTATGCAAGGCGCTTTAAGGCATAGTGTAGGGATTGGGAAAAGAACTTTGTGGCGCCTGGCGTTTGAAGGTATTATCGAGGCGTCGCGTACTACTTGTAGTAGAGCGTGGAGTGGTTTAGCTGTTAAATAATGAGAATCTATGCGACCACTACAAGGGATCTTCGTCCATTCCAAATGAGTATCTACGTTTAAATTCGATACAATGAGATTCCTCATCTTCGTGCAAGGAGTATGCAGCGCTGATTACTTTAGTTGCTCCAAACCCTCTGTGGGTTTTGGGCCACCTCTTTCTTTGCTGACCCTCTCGGCTCCACTGCCCTTCCATGCGCTCTCAATTAAACCAATAATATGCTCCATTCCGACTCCTCCTTTGACCTGAGCAAAGACAGTCGGGCCTCCTTCTCTCATCTTTCTCGCATCCCTATCCATAACATCCAAATCTGCACCCACGGCTTCGGCCAAATCTGTCTTGTTCACCACCAAAAGATCGCTCTGAGTGATTCCTGGGCCTCCTTTTCTGGGGATCTTATCACCTCCACTGACATCAATGACGTAGACGATGTAATCCGCCAACTCTCTCGAGTAATTAGCAGCTAAGTTATCACCTCCTGATTCGATGAGTAATATGTCGGAAGTGAATTCACGGTGCAGATCTTCAAGAGCAGCAAGGTTGGCCGAGATATCTTCACGCACAGCTGCATGGGGACATCCACCGGTTTCGATGGCACGGATACGGGATGCAGGCAGGGCTTTGTGTTTGGTGAGGAACTCAGCGTCTTCTCGGGTAAAGATGTCATTGGTAACGGCTGCGATTGAGTATTTTTCTCTGAGGGCATTGCAGAGTGCTAACATCAATGCTGTTTTGCCGGAACCTACAGGTCTGAACCGTTGTTAGCAAATAAATCACTCACAGTGACTCCTCGAATGATGATAGCGCAAATAAGGACGAGGGGATATTCAAACATGAAGCATTTGACAACAAAATTGTAAGAATATTCACGTGACTCAATTACCCCTCTAGGTCATGGAGGGGTTGTTTGGAGGAAAGGGCTTCACGAATGGAACTCAGGAATACGTACCCTCCAATACCAACAGTAAAAGCTCTCTCAGACCAGTTTCTGCCCTCTATGATTGGCATTTCTCTCCCCATGTAACTACCAGGTCCATCGAGAATCTCATGAGTATGGCCATGGTCACCAGCTGGATGATCGTGAGAGTGGGATGGACCTCCTTCGTGAGAGTGAGACATGAAGAAGTTATGATATGGATAATTTATGGAAGAAAGTGTTAGAGAGATAGAGAGATCACAAGCTGTTTGAAAAGTAACAGGTATGATATTACGATGTATTCCCAACAGATAAAAGGATTTTGTAATGATCTTCGAACTCAGCCTGTTGTAATTAATCTCCCAGTTGCAAAAAAGTTAAACCTAAATAGTCTCATGCAATGCGCCCCTCTTCATTGGCTTGTAAGTTGTGTGATTACTTTTATACGATGAATGTACGGAGCAGGTAGACGACTACAATGAACAAACGAAGCACATGCTTTTGTTTATGGTACCTCCATGTTTGATAGGTCTTGATACTTGATCTAATCTACAATGAATGAGTGCTTCATGCTAAATGCGAATGAGAGACGGATGAAAAATGAATTGCTTCATTTCACGTGATTTCACAATGACTCAACGTCACACGCTGAAAAAAAATGCCCCGCCAATTTAGTGCTACGACAGTGATATAAAACCCCCACCATCCCACATCAATTAATTTCTGTTCCCTTAAGGTGCGTTCCGTCTCCACATCACTTAACACACAGAGTGCGGGAAAGGTTTCTAACAGCTCACAGGCATACAATTCCATTTCCAGAAAACGAATATTTACTTGTTGCTCTTATCAATTGATCCAACATTTCGACTTGGACGCGACTGTGAGGAATTCTATCACCGACTATCAAAATAAACAATTTGAACGAATTTCAAGATGGCGACAGTTGTTCTTGGTGCTCAATGGGTACGTGCTTTCTGCGAAGATCTGCGGACATCAAATATTAACGTGCGAGTGTAGGGTGATGAAGGAAAGGTATGGCACATTGGACTGGGAGGATTCCATGTTTGGGAATTTAACTGAGGGTGGATTAGGGGAAACTTGTCGATGTCCTCTGTAGTGAGAAATTGAGATTGTGCTGTCGTGCACAGGTAAGTCTACCTCTTAAGTTCCTGGCGAATCCTCAAGAAATGTGTGTCTAATATTCGATGAAATATAGGGCGGAAACAACGCAGGGTAAATTGACGCGATGAAAGAAACTGGGGAATCATCTAACTTACGATGACAGACACACAATTGTGGCCAATGGAGTGACATAGTGAGTCTCCATGAGAAGCGACTCTCAGAGTTCAAAATAATCTCGGACATTCGACTGATACAATATCGAACAGCGACTTTCACATTTTACCTAGTGGTCTCCTTAATCCCGACTGCCAGAATCTGGTAGGAAGTGGATGCGTAGTCCATATTCCTGGCCTCCTCAAAGAACTCGCCGCCATTGATGGCAAGATTCCAGTTCCAGCAGGCAAAAAGCCTCCTAGAGAGAGATTATTGATCAGTGACCGATGCCAGTAGGTTTTGCAATTTCCGGTATAACTGAGCATGTCTGACAACGAGCTACAGTGTCGTTCTCGATCTCCATCAGAAATTAGATGGACTCGAAGAAGCCGAACTCGGAGGTGGTAAAATAGGTACTACCGGAAAAGGTAATCTACTCTTCGGCTTATTTAGAGAACCCCCTTTTCTAACAAGCTAAAGGTATCGGTCCGTGTTATTCAACAAAAATGGCCAGAAGCGGTGTCAGAGTTGCTGATATCTTCCGGGAGAGTTATTTCGAGGAGAAAGTTCGAAGCATGGCGGCTGGCGCCAAGAAAAGATTTGGGGATTTGTTGCAGTATGATGTCGAGGAGGAACTTGCTAGATTCAAGGTAAATTTGGCGATCCTAATCAAATGGTTTATTTTTTGACATTTTCCCAGACCTACAGGGCTGAATTAGCAGACATGGTTATTGACCAACTCCCCCTACTTATCGACGCGCAGAAATCCGACGCACCTATGCTGATTGAAGGTGCAAATGCTATTATGTTGGACATTGATGCCGGTACATATCCATTCGTCACGAGCTCAAACACAGGTCTCGGTGGTATTTTCACCGGTCTCAGTGGTTTGAACCCAAGAAAGGTCAAGAACATCTACGGAGTGGTCAAAGCCTATACTACACGTGTGGGCGGTGGCCCATTCCCAACAGAAGATCTAGGAGAGGTCGGTACAACATTGCAAGAAGTTGGCAGAGAGTTTGGTGTGACGACTGGTCGTCGTAGAAGATGTGGATGGTTGGATCTAGTGGTTGTCAAATATTCGACGGCTATCAACAGCTACACCGCCATCAATCTCACAAAACTCGATATTCTTGATTCTTTCAAAGAAATCAAGGTTGCCGTCTCATATCGCGATCCCGCAACTGGCGAAACATTAGAGTCATTCCCTGCTGATCTCGAAAGACTAGAGACACTCGAACCACAGTATGTCACATTACCAGGTTGGAATCAACCTACCACTGGTTGCCGTAGCTACTATGATCTTCCATCTGCGTGTCGCAAATACTGCGAGTTCATTGAGAAAGAAGTTGGCGTTCCAATCAAATTCATTGGAGTTGGTGAGTGTTTTCTCCAATTATCTTTTAATCATATCGGATCGCTAACATAAAAATCACAGGTCCATCGAGAGATGATATGATCACAAAATAGATCACAGGTTTTGCTTTCTACCTTTTACGAGTACCCTTGTATGTTCCTAAAGATAAAAAATTAGATCTTGGTAGCAATAGATAGATACTGCAATTTAGTTTCATTTCAATTTATCAATTCATTGGGCCTTTGCGCGTCATGATCTACGTGCGAAGACCTCGGCGCGTACTTCCAGCAAAGTGCAATGGGGAACATGTTTCGGTCATTGTTACACATCTCCTACCCCTTTCTAATCCCTTCATTATTCGGGTGAAATGGACGCTTGGTCAGAGTTTCATTTGGTTATCGTTTTGTTGCTTCTGGGGAGCCAAACTGCCTTCCTTGGTAACAATAGTCGGATCGGCTCAAACAATGGAGCACCTATATTTTTACATTTAGAATGGTCCTGTTGGCCCATGTATAGATTCGAATGCAAGTATGTCAAGAATAGGTTTCTATTATTGAAGATTATCAAGCATGTTCTGCTGGTCCAGACCAATTGATACTTTTTTCAGGCATTCTGAATCAATCAACATATCTGACAGCAATTTTCGCCCCATTCTTACTTTCCACGGTCATAGTAACGCGTTCAAGGTATTCAAAAACCTCGTCCCTGTTCTCGATGACTTCAATTTGCTGTGCAAGCCTAACCAAAAGATATGATAATTGAATCAGAACCTGGTTCTGTGCAGGGCACATTCTGATGCCACCTAAAAATGGCTCGTATTGCCATTTCGCTTCCCAGAGCGGCCGGTTTACATCTAACCATCGATCTGGCTTAAACTCATCTGCATCAGCTCCCCATATTGCTGGGTCTCGTTGTAATGTATACAAATCCAGCCCAACCACAGTACCCTTGGGTACGAATATTGGGGATTGACCATCTTCCCCACCACCTTTCGGTAGGATTGTATCTCTTAGAGATATTTTACCAAGTCTCGAGGCAGCTGGATGTAAGCGTAAGGACTCGTTAATTATAGCCTTGGTTACTCTCAACGAGCGAAGAAATTCAAACGTCAATGCCTGGCTTGAATCGATGCTATCAACCTCCATCTTCAATTTCTTCCATTCCCCAGGGTGACGAGCAAGTTCAAATACAACATCAGCAAAAGCAATAGCAGCTGTATCTCGAGCCGGAAAAAATACGTTAATGATATGCATGCGGAGATCATACGGATCTTGTGTTATTTTGGTCATTTCTTCCAGGAGAACATATCTTTTGGGCCCCGTTTCTTTTTTGGGGTTTCGCTGTTTCTCCAAGGCTGCTGATACACGTTTGTCAACGAATGCATGGACATTTGTATATGCTTCTTTCCACCAAGGATCGAAGTACAGTGGCCATCGAATAGGTTTGAATATGAGAAGTAAGGCTAAACCTAACAGAGCACGGTCGAAGGATTTCATAAATATGTCGGTCTCAATGGGTGTATCTTCGGCGAGACATTCTGTTGATTTGCCGAATAGGAATTCGGTCGATGTGTCAAGAAACTATGAGAACATTAGTCAATGAGGTTTATGCAAGAGTTTACCCTTTGAATTACGAACCAATCTTTTCACAAGAGGGAGCATATCAAAGGTCGAACCATCTCTTGGAATAAAAGCTAAGAACCGCGTAACGTGACGTTCAAAATTATCTAGATCTGCTATCTCGGCTCTGCTAAAGGTCGGTCGAACGAGTGATCTTGAATGTTTCCAGAATTCACCATCTTCTGAAATCGCAAAAAGGTTAACGACTTGGACAATCACTCTCTTCTATCTCTAGGAGGGTCAAAAATACCTGTGAAAATTCCCCGTCCGAGAAAAGGAAGTCCAATGGTTCCTCTCATGGGTCCCACACCCCAATCGTTAAAAGAAGAGGTGCAAATCGCTTGGATATTCTCAGCCTGAGAAGTTTGGAGTTCCGTGCCTAGTGAATTCATCAAGAATGTTGAGCCATACTGTTGATGAAGTGCTCTGTATGCTTCGGAACGATGTCCTGCGGCATCTGCTTTTTGGATTTTGATAAATGTGTCAAAGCCTAAGATTGGGTCGCGGCTTTGAACTCGAGGGATGGGCTTGCAGCCGTGAGTTTGAGCTGCTTGTGAGGCTCGACGGGCTCGGAAGTATGTGGTTAGCAGGTAGTAGGGTAGGATGGTTGCGAGAAGAATGGAAGTTATGATCGTTAGTAGAGATGCCATTTTGGGGGATGACGAGATTTACTGTAAAGCCCAGTGGTTTTGCTCGGAATACCATTTCAGTGCGACGACAACGGTATATGTACTTTTATTTCTCGTAAGTAGCGGGGTTTTGAGCGAAAGCATGGTCTTTTCGTCTGTAAAGATGTGCATGCGTGGAACCAACTGTTGGCTTACGGAAGTTATGAGACCAATGGGAAATGGTTATGTAGACGTGAGTTATTAATCGTATGATTGAACGACTTTTGGTTTCTTGTTTGGGTAGGTTTTACATGATCTTTAGTTGTAAACTTTTGTTCTATTTGTGGATGGGATTAATGTTTCTGGGGCGAAGTGCCGTTTTGAGAAGTTCAGAAGGGGATTGACATCATCAATATTATTGATAGAGTAGTTGTATATTTTATAAATTTGATATGAAATTTTGAAAGAAGAAGTCAAAATGGAATGAAAATTTCGGAGAGGAAGGTTCATGAGCAAGGTAGTGTTATTGTGAAGAAGCTTGTTCATAAGACAACAATGAAGTATAGAATGAGTGCATCCAACCGAAGAAGAGAGAATCCAAGAAAAGGGTTGCTACGGACGGATTGAAAGAGAATGATAATGCTGTTGAAATGATGGAATGAAAGATTCTGATGGAAAGGGAGTGTAAGTATGGATAGACAATTGGTCATGATACGCTTTCTAAAACAACCCTCACGTTTCGGAAAGTTAACCTTCTCATAAGAGACGATAGAGCTGCGAGAGCAGTTCCTTTCAATCTTCATGATGAAGAGTTCTTTTCTGAGATTCGGCTATTGAGGAGTATTGAAAGACTGGGGAGGTGTTGGTGTCCTAATCGCCATCAACTTACATGTAATTCAGATCTTAGACCCAACACCACCTAATTTTATAGACAATCTAATATTGCCAATAAATGATCAAGTGCAATATGTTTCAGTTTACAGCAATCCACACCCCGTATCTTTGGAGGCGATTGTTCCAACTATTTGATTGTAATAACCTCAGCAGTGAGTGACAACAAGAAAACGAGTAGTTAAAACTTCCAACTTGATATGTAGATATCTTATTGCGAGATGTTCTTATGCAGCGGGTTTCAATTGTTAGATGGGTCGGATTGTTCCAATAATGATCGTCCTAAGTCCCAAATTCGATCCTTGAATTTTGTTCATCAGACTGCAGGTTTGGAAGCAATGTAAAGTGTTGTAATTTACATCTTTACTCCTTGGGAGTAAGTAATAGAAGTTCTTAGTGCGGAATTTGTGTAGATAATAGATCTGGCTCTGAATATAGAACTATCATCTACAAGTACCGTCGGATCTCGAAAGTCTCCTGGTAATACAATTTGAGGTTTATATCCGTCACTTGATAAGTGCAGTATGGCGAACAACAAAGAACACAAGATCTAGAGGACTTGAGAGCACCGTTGCTATCGATATTCAAGGGCTCATTTATCAGTCTACTGCTACTGACTCTCGCAGTATGCTCTGTATTTTCTCAGAACTTATTGGATAGTTCCTAGTTCACATCACAGCCGCTATGAAATATGTAACTTTACGAATTCCCTCGGTAAGTTTGGACAGACTTCTGTCATATATCACATAGACCGACAATTGATCTGAAGACTCGAGGAATGGCTGTTCAAGACCAGATACAAAAGAGCAGAGAGTAGACACAATGATTCAGCGTAGTTCATTTTTAGTCGCCAGTCTACTACTCTTTGGCGTTCACCCTTTTCTCGACTTACTTTTCATGAACCAGGTGATTGCAGTCTATACGCAGCCGAAGTTTTCTACGCATACTATTTCTACTCTCGCGTCCTTGAGGAAATCCCTTTTTGGAGATATCTCCGGCTTGTCTGAATTAGTTGATAGTTTATATGCGGGGTAAATTTAGACTTGTACTACGTGAAAGTACCGGGTGAGATAGTAGAAGCATTGAGAACATGAAGTACTATTTGTTTTAATTCATTAGCCTTTCTTTTCTTCAGCTTCGATCCACATGTCTCGTTCTCCGGGATGTATGTATGAATGCTATTCACCATTATAACATTTCAAGCCATCTAGGACTCACTTTATTCCCATTTTATTTCTACTTGTAGTACAACATATCCCTTGCTTATCATTGTGTTATATGCCACAATATAATACCGCGGCTTCAGAATATCCCTCCTCATCAGCCCCTCTCCTCATAGCAAGCCCATTCAATTCACCAGACAATATATGCGCCCAATTGAACGGTTCAGCTCCCCGATTGAAGATAGTTTAATCAGGATCAACCTATAAATCAACCCTATTCCTCTTTCCCCAGACTTTCTATGCAGCCAAGGATACCAAGATCTCGCTATTGTAAATGGGTAATTTCCGTGCGCTGTGCTGGCGAGAAGAGACCCGAGGTTACACATTTGTATTGACAGGTATAACTGATAGGTATATATGGACTTAGCTACCTCATCTCATCTTATTAGTACATTAGCCATTCAAAATCTGACATCCATTCACTCCTGCATCTACCAATACCCCGCTCTCTTATTTCTACAACGAAGTTTTTCAACTCCCATGTCTTTTCTTCCCGAGCAATCAACACTCACGTAAAACCCAATTCTAACACACTGGATTGATCATCATGAGTAAATCATCCATTACCCCTCCATCTGGTAGTTTCGACGCCATGGAGTCCGAGAAAATCGAGCACATCGCGACACATGACAAAGTGCCCGGTCATAGCAACTACTACGAGAAAGACGGACTTCGAACATATGGCGACGATGAAGATCATGATCATGAACCTGAAGTACGTCATGTCCCTCAGAGAATGTATAAAATCGACTGACAGCGCGTAGATGTCGATGCGACGCTTCATGAGTCTAGTCGCCATGGCATTTTTGTGGACCGGATCACAAATTCCTGTGTATATTTTTGGTAAGGTCTATGGATGTTATTCAGAATATGTGAAAGAGCTGAAATTATGGATATAGGTGCCATTCCACCCTACATTTATTCTGATATTGGGGGCGTCGATCGGTGAGTACTTTGAACATCTAGATCCAAATACACGTATTATCCGTTCATAGGAAAGAAAGCCTAACGGTATATAGGTGGATATGGTTTGTCCTTGCAAACCTCCTTGCCTTAGCGGGAGTGTGCCCATTTGTTGGAAGTCTCTCTGATATCCTCGGTCGTCGTTATGTCGCACTTTTGGGTGCTCTTTTCATTGTTGTCGGTATGATCGTTTGCTCAACCGCTCACACTATGAATGTATTCATTGGTAAGTTCTAAAATTACTTCAGGAAATGGTGCTATACTTAAATTAACGCCGAGGTCAAGGGGGGATGGCAATTGCTGGTATTGGAGCTGGCATCAATGAGTAAGTCTTTTTAAATATTTATTTATGATATTCAAAGGGCACTTGGAGAGCTTAACTTACCATATTTAGACTCACTGCTATAGCAGCCACAGCCGAATTAGCACCTACCTCGAAACGTGGAAAGTATGTGGCTATTCTTGTCTTCACCATCCTCCCATTCTGTCCATCTGTAATGTGGGCCCAGCTCATAGCTTCGCATGGCGGATGGCGTTGGTGCGGATTGCTATGCGGAGTATGGGCGTTCATTGGCTTCGCTCTTACTCTCGTTTTTTATTTCCCTCCTCCTCGAGTTAACTCGATTGGTTTATCCAATCGGGAAATTATACAACAGATTGACTTTGTAGGCGGCTTCTTGAGTGTAGCAGGAATGATTCTATTCATGGCTGGCATGCAATGGGGTGGCTATCAATACGACTGGAATTCAGCGCATGTTCTGGTACCTTTAATCTTGGGGGCCGTCTTGCTAATTATTTTCTGTTGTTGGGAAATATATGGGACGAAATATCCTATGTTTCCATCTCGTTTGAAGCAAGCTCCGAGAATTCTAGCCCTGACACTTGTCATAACATTTATATCCGGTGCTAATTTTGTACGTACGAGCTTTTGTTTCCTTCCGACACGCCTTTTGCGAAAGATACTGACAAGTATTAGTTCAGTATCATCATGTTCTGGCCTACTCAGGCTTTCAACGTATATGGACATGATCCGATTGGCGTAGGGGTCAGGGGGATACCCGTTGGCTTCTCGATTTTAGCAGGAGCTTGCATTGTGTTGTGGTTGCTGAGTGTCCTTAGAGGAAGAAACAAGGAGTTGATGATCGTAAGCTCTGTGTTAATGACAGCTGGTATGTAATTCTCGAAGCTGGGTAAATCAGAGGCACATTTCATTTTCATCTCGCTAATGCATATAATTTAGGATGTGGTGCACTTGCATGCGCAAACAGACACAACCTATCAACACTATGGGCTCTTCTTATAATCGCTGGATTGGGCATAGGTGGTATTGTCGTACCAGCTTCGATAATAACGACTATAATATGTCCCGATGACTTGATCGCAACCGTTTCTGCTCTCACCCTCTCGATCCGAGTAATTGGTGGTAGTATAGGTTATTGTATCTACTACAATGTCTTCGTAAGCAAGTTTGTTCCTGCTGCTACTTTCCATATCGGAGGTGTTATGGCTCGACAACTCAATATTACAAACAAAACTCTTATAGGAGAAGCTATCCACTACACATCTGCGTCTCTTCTCCCATTGCTCAAAACAATTCCAGGAATTGCAGGGAATGAAACCGCTTATCAGATGGTGGTGATTGCAGGGCAGGAAGCATATGCCGAAAGTTATGTTTATGTGTACTATGCTAGCACAGCATTTGGAGCTGTGAGCATTCTTGCGGCTTGTTTCCTTGGTGATATTAATGCATATATGGATGACCACGTAGCGGTTATTATGCATTAAAGTCTGAGGTTGAAATTGACTTTTGGTGGATAGAGTTCGGCCTTTAGAAGTGCATGATCGAGATATACATTTGACCCGTGATAAATACAATACAATCAGATTGCATTCAGAATAACATGAATATCACATAATGATCTTGATTTTAGTCATTACAATTGTAGATATTCCAATTATGGTTTGAATGAGAACATCACTACTTGACACCTCGGAGATACAAAGTATATACTTTCATATGAATGTTGAGGTTCGGGAGGGCCCAATAAAAGAGAAGACACTACGAACATATCAAGGCGTGAATGTGTTCGGATAGAATTTGCGACCCTAGATTTGGAATTGCAAGTTCTGGCTCTTCCCTTGTTCCTCGCCACTTCGCAACAGCTTTTCCAAGATTTCCAAGTCAGCAAGGGCTTCTTGAGGAGATTGCCTAGAATTGGGCTTCCCATCCACGATGCTCTGAGCCCAAGCAGCAACTTCCTGCTTCACACCACTACCCTCTTCTGTAAACTCAACCTCTGTAAAGTTCTTTTCGCTTTCTTCGCCCTTACGCACAATGACTTTACTTCTGATAACAGAAACGCTACCATGCTCACAAGCGACTGTATATTCAGGACCGGAAAGAGTGGTGCCGAAGGAGACGCTGAATGTGCCTGATATTCCCGACTTCGTGAGCCATATTGAATTGATCGTATCAACAGGTGGTAAATGCTCCCGAAGAAGTGTACTAAATGCCACGACAGTTGTTGGCTTTGCGTCTTCACCCAAAAGTAATCTGCCGGCCGCCGTGAAATGAACGCCCCCATCGAGTAGAAAGCCACCTTGATAATCTGGCTTCTTGCGCCACTCAGTCTCTGGTGAATCCGTTAGTTCTCACAATAGCATTGCTAGAATGGAAGATGCATACCAAAGTATTTCATTCCTGGCTTGACATTGCCACAAAATTGCATACGAAAGCCCAAGACTCTCCCCAACTTCTCTATTTCTTTCCTCGCATAGATAAACGAATCCAAGAATCGGAAATTCTCAGCTACACCCCATGTAGCTCCACCCTTTACTTTATCACTGTTGTAATATTCTAGCAAGCGTTGTGCCTTCTCTAGGTCTCCTGCAATTGGCTTCTCTGACAATACATGCTTGCCTGCTGCGAGAGCAGCTTCAATATATTCGGGTTGAGCGAGAATTGGGAGGGCGATTATGACGGCGTGAACATCCGTACGAAGAAGAAGATCGTAGTATGTATTTCCAACACCCGAATCATCGGAATAGAGAGGAACATCGACGTTCAATGATTGTGCGGATTTGAGAGAACGGGAGTAAATAGCTTTGAGGGATAGATGAGGGGTAGCTTGAATAGCTGGCTAAAGCGCGAGATTGGTTAGCTATAACCTTACGACATTGACTGGACTGAGTAAGCTTATACCAGATGCTCAGTCTGAGCAAAAATGCCTGAACCAATAATAGCGACGCCGATGGACATTTTGTATGTATGTTTTGTATATACTCTAGAAATACCAATATTTGAACGCTTTTTGTGTTGAAGGAGATATTTATCATTCACGTCATTGCGGAGGACTTTGTGCCAAGCAAGCAGGGAATGGCAAGTTGATGATAAAGCGTCAAGCAGAACATAATTTCAATGGATGACTTCATTCGCATTGCTTTCTGCCTGAATAGTGAAGTGTCAGAACCAGCAACTATCTGGGACGCCATATTGATACAACGGCTCGAGAACGATTAGGAGTAGCGAAGATAATTGGAGATGCAACCAAGTCAGCCTTTCACCAGGTATGTACCTAATAACCAGGGGTTTTTACGGGCTCTCCTGCCCCATAGTTCGATGATCACAACACCAAAAATAACTTACCTTGATAACTATTGCTAGAGTCGAATAAATCGATAATCATCTTCTGATGTTCTACGAGTACGTTAATTATATCATAATTTACTTGTAGAACGAGATTTGTTCTCCGAGGTAATTCTTTTATACTGCAAATCCTTCATTTCCCTACTGCTTCTAATCTCGTCTCAAATCATCAATCAAAATCAGTTGATACATAAATAGAGAATCATAAAACTCAAGATTTGGTATTGCAACTATCGACCTGGAATAGTCTGCGATGGCTAGAATATCACATGTACTATTGAAGACTTAGAACCCCCAGAATGATACTATCTCAGGTTATTATAGTCGAAGATACATATCTAAGTAGATAAATATCAGGCTGTCAACCCAATCTGGAATTTGAGTACCTTTGGAGACGCAAAAGACCCTTGATATTAACATTGATATTGCCCTAACGTTTCTAGATGCTACTTGTTACATCTACCACTCATCAATCAACCCTCCATTCATTCCGTCTGGAGTCAACCAAATTTCTCATCCGTCTAACTATCCATCCACTCACGACGATCCAAATATCCATCCAGCCATCCAAATATCACAACGTTCAGTTTCATGATCGCCGAAGGAAGGAAAAGAGGGTATCCATCGTAAAATACAAAAATCAGAACTTCAAACTAAACACCAGTATAAACGTCCTCCGTTGCACCCTTCGTGCCAGATGAGCTAATACAAGGCAAATTATGCAAGAGTTCCTGCAGACGCTTAATGTTATTAGCTCTTCTTTCGGAACGAAACCCACGGATGAATCTTACCAGAATGTACATCGACTTAATAGCCACTCATACCGCAATTCCGTAATGCAGTTGGACACATATTTTGCATAATGTGCACGAGACTATCTCCTCAAGTCCGGGTTCACTCGTTCCTAAATTGCGCCTGGAGATCGCCAATCTTTTGTCTGCGAGTGGCGGTGATGTCTTTAATCTCGCTTATACTCCCAAAAATACAGGAAATAAACACTCTCTCGGCGACAAGATCTGGTTCTGAGTGGACAGGACTGTCTTCTTGACCCCAAGAAAAGCGAATGATTTGACCACGAGTGATTTCAAGAGGGGTTTCCCCCGCAAGCGCGTTGGCCGTCTCCTTTCTCTTTCCGACGTGTTGTTTCATTGCCTGTGTGACCAGCTCTGTCTCTTGGAGAACCAGAGTTGTAGGTCCCAGCAAGGTAGTAGCGTATCTGCAATGTAAGGCGTGATTTGCGTTGGTACATTCTATCATGCGACCGTCTCTGTGCCAGCGAGGTATAACGAATTCGTCTGACTTCTGCGTCATTCTCACCACAAACCATACAGCTTCAGGATTGACTTGACAGTCATCTTTGGAGTCCTGAATGGTAAGGGCAAGAAACTTAGCAAGTGTTTTCTTGACAGACCATCGGAAAACACTGCTGTTGTCAGATATAAACTTTGTAGCTTCCGCTACAATGACGTCTGGGGAAGTAATGCCGTAATAATGGTAATGCTCGCCTTCGCAGCGAATATCCTTGATCCTCGGTGTTTTGAGGAGGGAAATGAATATTAGAAAATTGGCAGGGTGCGCGACTTGAGTTTCGTTCTATGTATATTTAGAATCAGCAAAGGTGAGATTTTAAGGTATCACACCAAATAATTCTTAAACTTTATCAAGAACTTACATCAGACTCTAAGTCTTGCTTAGCACTTCCAATGGGCTCAAGTAAGACTGCGCCGACGCCGACCGGAGGAGAAGATGAGTCTTGAAGCTCTTTCTATATCTTGAGATCAGCAAAAGTGATTTCTACCTTATCGGTGTTACGTCAATTGACCAGTTTCCCTTTCCAAAGACTTACCTTGAGTTTGATAGTTCCAATCAAGCGCGTAAGAAAGTCGAGTTGATGACAGTATGGCGCATGTTCTTGCTGTATGTATTTTATGATCAGCAGTAATCATCACCATGCCAACAGTGCGCCAGGTAATTGGAGTACTCTTTAGTAAACTTACCTCTGTTGGGAGAATTTCATTCTTGTCTGTCACCTTTGCTTGGTGTATATCTTTATGTGGAGATATGGCACTGGCAAGATTGATCGCGGTGGGGTTCTCAGAAATAACTCCCATTGCAAGAGGAGTGGGTTGTGATGTGATAGGTGAGGAAGAGCAAGTTGTAGCAGATTCGTTCTGATTGAAAAGTTGATTCTTCCTCAAAGGAAAGCAGGGAGTGGCAAAGAAAACCATTGCGATTGTTGTTGTTGAATTGGATTGATCTTCTCTCAGTTATTTGTTGAGCAAAGTTCTTTTAATAACAAGAGATCCTCAGATTCAATAAAACCAAACGAGCAAGAGATGAAAAAAGCATGACTTGGATTTGACTGCTTAGTCGACTTGCTTAGTCGGGCATAACGACTAAGCAGATGAGAAATTTGATAGAGCATGTTCAAAGTTGTTTTCTACCACATATGGTATCATTTAGTTGTAGATAGTCGGGCATGTTGTTATGAGATGTGGTAGTCATAGGTTATGGCTCGAGAGTGAAGACTTAAGAGTAGATGAGTATTTTAGTTCTGGGAATCAAGTCTTATATGTACAATTGGGAAGGAAGGTATGCTAAAGTGAGTTGTGTGGTTTTAATAGCACTTTAGTTCCAAATCTTCTTCACTATTGATTACACTTTGACATTTCGGAATTTAATATTATCAATTCTAGGTGAAGACAGGCTTCACGCACCCGCCCACTCTCAGCTCCCTTTACCTCTGACCGTCATTCAACTCTAACTGCTGGCTTACTTCAGATTCTCCAACTTTCTTTGAGGGGTGGAGACGTGTTGGGAGGTTTGGTTGAGAACGAGAAGGTAGATGTTCTCTCTTCTCGTTCTCCTCAGAGTTGACCAGTAGAAGGGGGGAGTGATTTAGGAGACAATGATATCAAAGAAATGATAATAAGGATAAGTGAAGTAAAAAAAAATTGGATTATCTCTTGACCTACATATATACCTCTGTATAGTTGATCTTGCTTTTAGAGATATTTCACAGAAAAACTTATACACCAAAGACATAGAGGCTAGTTCCTAGTGGTTGCTTTCTTTTACCAATAGGAAAACAGAATTATGAACTTCAATTGATGTAGTAATAAAAAAAACTTCAGAGGTGATGAAGGTTAGTAAAATTTATATGAAATTTGGCTGTTATGAATAAGCGAGTCAATATCAAATGGCTTTCATTGTCTTTCTTCTACGAAACTATTTATCGATGCACCTGATGACTAGTAAGATGGATATTCCAGGCTCAACACCATCTTCGTCGTCATCTTTTTGTTCTCAGATTTCGTTTACCATAGCACCAATGTTGCTACCAATAGATAGTCTTTGTTAGAGAACTGTGAACAAATAAGGAATTTCAAGAGCTGGAGTGTTTGTGAATTTTAGAACGACAACATAAAAATATTATGAGCAGAAGAATATGACAAGAAGAAACGTGGCAAAGGGGGATATAGAATGGCAGGACATCAAGCCAACTCATTTTCGAACTCAACGATGTGATCGAAATGAGTGTAGAGTACCTAGCTTCATATCATTACTCAAGATATAAAAACTATAATCACGTCTGGGATAGCCTGTAGCACTGAATGTTTGCATGATGTAGAATAAGACTAACAGCAAATAGACTTCTAAGAAGAATTGTAACTTTCCAGAATAGTGTATATTCCAGTCATTGTGTAAGTTGAGGCTTTCTCGCCATCGGAAATTTGAGATGGCTCTTTCATATACCGAACCAAACAAAGGGTAAATTGACAATTATAGCTGTCTCTATACTTTTGTCATCCCATCACTTCCATCATTTTCATGGGGTTCATAAATAATAAACACCATATCGTTATCCTAAATGATCAAATGACAAAAAGCGCGATTCAGAGCGGGAAAGAGTGGAAGAGGAGAAAAGGAGAAGAGGAGAAGAGCAGCAGAAAGTTGCAGTCGTAATCAACATGGAAGAGAGATTGCGTATAAAGATTGAAGAAGTATAGTAGAACCCGCTTGTTCAAATTGATTTCGTTATAGTAAGTATCTGTTGTGATTCTGCATCAGGGGGGTAGCTCATTCTATCCTCACTTCTCTCCTTTCCTCCAATTGCAGAGGACCTTCTCTTCTTTATTCTTACTCTCATACTTAACAGTTGCTACTGATTATTCATTTATGAAGGAAGAGACGACCAGCCCCGATTCATGAATGTCAGACGTACTTTTGTCTACTCGTGGCTCTGTCTTATCAATGAAAAATTGGAGAAACTCGAGCTGGAAATTGAAGCATGAAAGGTATTAAAATAAAGTAAATTCAGACTTGATGTAGATCCTACTATGCTGTCAGATGACATTCCCAAACGGAAAAGATCGTGACTTTCTCAAGTCCCTGAATGGAACTTCATCTTTTGAGGCACCGACCAACTTTAGTCCAAGTCCTCGCAGCCTTTGGCTCTCACTAAACGATTGTTTAGCGTTAAATTGATCTAAGAATCACATATGATGTTTTTGGACCTTCAAATAAAGTATAATTGGGTACCTTGTACCGATCACGCAAACTTAGAGTTTAACCTTATGTAAGCGAGTCGGAACGTGAGGCGAACCCAAGATCTTCTGTGCTCCCTTCACTTCATCACATGCGAACTGTGTTTATGAGTTCGGTCATCACTGCTTTTGTGAAGAATTTGTAACCTTAAATGGCTGGCTGACTTGTAACTTAACTTTATCCTGAAATTGCGCGTGTCTGAATATAAGGAACGATAGTCGCGTAACATACGGGACAATTCGAGACGTCGATCTTTGGATAATACCTACATATGCGATGCAACATATAAAAGGATCTGGTTCCTTGAAATACGCGCTAACCCCGCACCGGCAGATGGTACATGTTGTATCCTAGGACCTTACCACGGGCAAGTTGCCAAGCCCACGATTGGTCAATTTCAACGCCAACTTCCATCAGGGGATAAATCCCCGATGACAGACCACTTATCTGGGCAGCCGTCACTACCTTGCTTGTTATTCTATTGCAAGGTCTCTTCAAGTTGTGTGTTTACAGATAAAGTCTGTACGACACACACTGAGAGTTTGGTCAAGATGACTCGGCCCGATGATCTCCCAAAGGAGACTACAAACCATCCACGACCTATGTGGGGGATCATATGTGAATGCGTGCTACCTTGGACATCCATAGCATCGATCTTATAAAGGTGGTGAATTTCTCTCCAGTTTTGATCTTCACACTTCTCTCAACAAGCAAGGTTAATCTCCACAAGATGCGTCTCATACTTTTCTATATCGGGATGTGCCTGTCAGTCACCGTGGCACAAGTCTGTAATGGATATGCCGAGCTCTGTGATCGTAAATGGTCAGAAATATCCCAAATAGGAACACACGATAGCGCATTCGTGGGAGAATTACCAGCAGAAAACCAGAATCTCGATGTCACCGCTCAACTGAATGCTGGGGTTAGATTTCTTCAAGCCCAGACTCATTATTTTCTCGATACATTGACGTTATGTCATACTTCATGCTTTTTACTAGGTCAGTTCTAAATGCAACTTCTTATCCCGAGCTTAGCCTCTTGCTTTCAACACCTTTAGATAGGATACTTTTGGAATTCAATCGCACTCTTGATCTTGTACCTTCTTTTTAAGCATTTTCTTGAGAAATAACTAATAAGCATCATCTTCAATGCAGATGCTGGGCCAGCTGTTTACTATCTAGAGGATATCAAGAAATGGCTTGATGCGAATCCTAATGAAGTCGTAACTTTACTACTCACGAATGGAGATTATATTCCTGTCGGAAATTTCAGTTCAGCAATGGAAGTGTCTGGTCTGGCAAAATATGCATATACACCACCGCATCAGTTAGCCATAAATGAATGGCCTACGCTTCAGGAACTGATCACGAATGGAGATAGACTTGTTATGTTCCTCGGTGAGTAGTTATCCCTACCATTTTTCACAATTGAAAATTGATCTAACAATATTGAAGACTACGACGCGGATACGAGTGTAGCTCCATATATCCTACCCGAGTTCTCTTACTTTTTCGAAACTGCGTATGATGTAACTACCCCTACATTTCCAACATGTACACTCGATCGTCCCCCAGGATCAAATGGAGATGGACTTTTGCCGTTGATAAACCATTACTTGGATATTGATGTCTTCGGTATCCTCATGCCAAATAGATTGGAGGCTAAAAAGACGGTAAGAACAACTTTCTGCAGGTTATAACAATGACCAATCATTGACTTGAATGTAGAACGCGGCAACAGGTGTAGGTAGTATTGGAGCCCAAGCCGACCTCTGTACCTCAACTTGGGGCCGAAAACCGCGAGTAATGCTCCTGGATTTCTTCGACGTTGGTAAGAGAGTCCCCATACATTCACAAAAAGTCGCAATGCTAAAACAAACCTAGGAAATGCAATAGAAGCACAAATCACATTGAATGGCTTGTAAGAAGGACTTTTAAATGCATCTCATGTTTATTAAAAGTAGTATAGGAACGAGAGCCAGAATCATGAGTCTCAGTCGTTGAAATACTGCCATGCTTCTTGATCATATGACTAAAACGTGCAAATATGTTATTAACTCGCTCCATATAGGCCAGTGAAAAATTCCGCCAGTTCGAAACACACACTTCCTTCTAAATATACACTACTTTTCCTTACTATCGGCGCCATTTCTTTTTTGTGTTAACGGTACTGTTATTTTTGCTTGAGTTTCGAAGATTTCATTGCTGGTCGAGGGACAAATGAAAGGCGTTTGGGTTTGGGCTAGAACGAGCAGTGTCATAGAAGGAGCGTTGGAGTTGAAGATCACTTTGTTCTCAAGTTGACATGCTATTATTTCTGTTTTGAGTTTATCAGTCTAGAATTTTGGCAGCGCAACGCAGATTAGATTTAGACTTCTGTTTTGTATACTTTACGGCTATCATTGTTTAGATATTGAAGGGCATAGAAGGTTAGAATAGGCGACAAGATGTAGATGCCGCGATTGATATCATTGTTTACACTTTAGTCAAATATAAATAGATACTGTTATTTTTGGATTGCGGTAGGGGAGGAATGCTGTTAGCGAGGAAGTTGAGTGAGGGAGGGGGAGGGACACGGTGAATATTATTCAAGGATATGTCTTTGATGAAGATATACTGCACTGTATATAATTATGGCGTTTCTCGATATAAGGGATATAGAGTTTGCTTCATGATTTCAAAGGATGTAGAAAACAAATCGTCGATATTGAAGTCTATCGGAAAGAATGTAAATAGCTTCAAAAATAACGAAAAATCCTGTCCATTTAATTTAAACACATAAAGGGGGGGACCATTTTTTGGCAGTATATAGGGAGATGGGTAGAAAATAAGAGTGTTGTTGAGGGACTTTATAAAGAGAAGATTATGTAGGTAGGAGACAAGGATATTATGTATGATTATGAAGATTATGTAGGAGATAAGGATGTTATGTATGATATGTCCGAAGTTGTCTTAACCGTCCACCATAGTAAGATCTTACATAAATATCGATATACAAACATACCTACAGCCACACTTTTACAAACCAAAATAATCTGGTGATCCATCCCATCAAATACACAGCAAAACATCTCAAATACAAAATTTCCACTCTATCAAACTTCAATTTACTTACTCTAAGATCTTACAACCAACAAAGATAGTCAGCTAGCTAATAACTCCCATCTCTACGCAAGAATTTCTTCCTCTTCCCTCAATCCCCGGAATATCCTCGGTGTCGATAATCCATCTCAATACATACATATGATATACACACTTCCATCACTCACTCACCCTACGAGTCTACCCTACCTCGAGCCTACCTACCCATCCACCACTCAAGCAAACCCCTATTTCTCATCCCTCACTCCCTATATCCTCACTACCCATTCCATCCCATTCCCATCCACAGGAACCAGCACGCCCCGAGTCATGACCACACTCCCGAGCCACCCCAATCAAAAAAACCCGTGTGCTATGTTCTTCCAATCCTATCCACGACCCACAACCCACGGTCCCAGCGTTCCCATGCTACCAAACTCCATCTTAGCTCGCACCTAACAAAATAAACTTAAAAACCCGCTCCCTCTAGCCCACGCACCAACAAATTAGTCCCCGCCGAGCCCGCTTGGCACATTCTCGATTGACTTTTTGCGAAAGGAACTTTCCACGTCAAACACTCAAGTGGTGAAGTGCCGATGCGAAGGGTAGGTACCCTAGGTACCCTTAAGGATCTTCAGAGAGATTTTCAAGCTTGCGAGGGGTTTTGACGTGATACGACTTGAGTTTATTTCACAGTTATGCATTGAATTGTATTGATTTCTTGTAATGGAATTTAATTTGATTCGATTGATATCATTATGTCTTAAGCTGAATATTACTGAAGTGATTGAACAGCAATAATGCGTTATTCATTAGAAAAGTATTTTGATAATAGGTCCAGCAACCAAGCTTTTTTTTCCTCCTCTCCCCCTCTCCTCTACCAAGCAAAGTTGTGTAAAGAATTGAAAGACATTATTTATCTTGATATATCCATAATTCCTATCCCCCATCTCAATGATCCCGTTCCAGTCTAATTACATGTAGAATTTGTCGTGTCATGATATCTCATGCGAGCCAGACTGCTCACAAAGCGAAAGCGGCCAAGAAACCAGCTCCAACAATAGCTCCGGCAGCATTGACTCTACTTCCGGCAGCTGTAGAAACTGTAGCGGGAGCTGAAGCTGAAGAAGTGGCTGAAGAAATAGCAGAGGAAGCGGATGATAGAACTGAAGATACACTTGAAGAAGCCGCGCTAGTGGCGCTAGCAATAGAGCTACCTGCTGAGGAAATGTTGCTAATGACAGATGAAGAAGCTGAATCGGTTGAAGATGAAGACGATGCTTGGGTCGAAGATGCGGCGGCTGAAGAACCTGATGAACCAGAAGCTGCTTGGAGAGCACAGATTTCGGTAGTGATTTTTTGAGTGGCTATTAAATTTGTTAGGATATGCTACGATTGTTTGAAAAATTTGAAGACTTACTCAAAGTGTCAGAGGCAGAGCATCCAGCTGCGATACATGGAGTGGCAGCTTTGGTGATAGCGTCTTTAGCATCACCGCATTGGCATGCAAAGTCGGTAATACTACATCCAGCACCACTGGAAGCTGTTGACAAGCAGGCAAGGGCACAAGATGGGAGTTGTGCCACTTCACTAGCGATACTTTGGGAGTAAGCCACTGAGGCAAGGAGGGCAGAAATGGCAGCGTATGTGAATTGCATGTTTGCGTTAATGATTGCTTTTGAAACAAGAAGTGTGTTGTTGAAGAAAACTGGTATGGAGATAAAGATTGAAGTTTTTTAATGTGCGATGTAACTTTGTTGTAGAATCAAAAGAGAAGGGGACCAGCTTTATCTTATAGGTTCAACGAGGGTATGTAATTACCTGCAGATGGTTACTTTTTAGTGTTGTACGAAGTCCGAGCGGAGTTCTGTGCACAAATGGCATCGATGAGCACTTACTCGGGAACCAATAATCTGAGTGATTTTATTGATCTTCCTCGGGCTCAATACAGAAAAGAGGTCCATCACCGTTGATACGTCGGGTGGCGGAAAGCTATTCCCTGCAGCAAAATTTGCCGTGCCTAGGAGGTACTGAAGTAGTAAGAACTCGAGTAATCAGTTGTAAATTGTAACGTGCAAGCCAGCCTTCAAAAGGCATCTGGTAGCGTGATAGATCTTTTCAGACATACATCTAGGTCCACGCGTTGATAAGAGTTTGACTGTTAAACGAACTAGGTAAATAGCAATGCATCTACTACCTACCTACCTAGTAATTGCAACTTTGCATCTCCTTGGGTAGACATACTTGATCTATTTTTTCTCCAGCCTTTTCCTTTACCAATTTCAATTACCTTAATATATCGACAATTGTGTAAATGTGTGCGTTAATCACCGGAAAATACTACCCCAATTATTACCCCGGACGGGCTGGAACCCCAGAAAAAGGAATTACGGTAAAAGGGAACTGGGTTCTCATATCAGAGATAGCATCATCAACCAGTAGATCATCCGAAAGAGATAAAATAATCCTTGACCAATAAAGCAAGCATGACCGTTTAACCCTTGATGTTTGTTTAACCCTTGCTTCCCGATAAAAAACATTATCCATATTGATCGTTGAATTGCGAGTCATCTTGACTTGCCCCAATCAGAACTTGGCTAAATGGTTTGTTCAACTGCAAAAAGAAGAATTCATCAGGGGTTTCTCGCACGCACCTGGGTCTGACCAGGTATCAAATGCAAATACATTGCACATGAAATATTCTGCATGCCGAGGTGGACGTACATACTTATCAGCCTTGCTTGAAAACGTTAGAATTTGGATAAATCGCTGCATTAGATTGTTGCGTTGTTGAATTGATGCATGAGGGGAAATGAAAGTAACCACGGGAAAAGAATATACTCGCAAAAGAAAGAGATTTCCTTGGAAGCAACCCTGGGCCAGAGAGATAATCGAGATGATTAATATATTGAAGTCAAAAAACAAATTCTGATGAATTTCAAAAGTATTCCGAGGTGCAAATGAACATGTGGAGGTATCGACGTTTGAGAATCCCGATGGACAAAAACTCTAAGTGATGAGTGAGACATAGACAAATTGTCTTTTTGACGTTTGATTGCGGGGTAATTGAAGCCATATCCACCAAGACCTCCACTAAAGCTTCGTGTCTTCACAGTGATGCACGGAGTAGAAGAGAGAGAGAGAAAGACCTTACTTTATTCTGACAACATGCGCACTGAGGGAATAGCTTCTTGTCAAGGATCATTGTCGGAGTAAATTCCAATCTCAGCAATGTGGATACTGGAAGGATTTGTATACGAACTATCTCATGCGTGACTTATTTGACTCCAATGATGGAAGGAGCATCCGAAGATTGCACACTCTCGAGACACTACAAACCGAGATACTTCTTCGCCCAGAGATCCATCGTTCCCGGGAACATTTTCTCGGTCTGAAAGATCGTGTTCCCACACCAATTCCCCAGAAAATCATCTTAACCTTAAGCACGGCAATTAATGGGTACGTCAAGGAACAGGTCGCATCCTTCCATCAATGTTTAAGTACAGACTTTTTCGTGTAAGATTTGAAAAGTATGTATCTACCTTGAGCGGTCCTTAATTTCGCCTCACTCATCTCGACTACTCCACTCAGCCTGGCAAAGTTTTCTGCTGTCAACTCCTCTCCTCTTACTCCGGCATGGAAATTGGATCCCTTAAATAACTTCCAGACAATTTGTAACCATATTGCGTCGACACGCACGTCGGGAATTGTTGCCCATGGGGACCAAATGACTGCAGGTCGATTGAATGCATCGTGGGCAATTGATACGAGAAATTGAAGTGACTGGTTGCAATCCAGCCAATGCGGTATGTGTGAAAATAGGAGGGAGAAGGCAATGATGGAGAAAGTACGGTCAACAAGGCGACACGAGCGAAGTGACGATGTGGGAAGGTAACTGAGTATATGCCTGAGCAGTTCTGGTGCCATGCTATCCATGTTCAATGGTAAGGGTAGAACAGAAAGTCGGAGGAATCTGGGTAGAAATTGCGAAGAGCCATTGTATTTGAATATAGACATTGAATACCGACACCTTGATGGGAAGCAAATGAGGCCAATACTAATGAAGCAATGAACTTAAGCTCAGCGTACTGTAGATCCAATCATTTTCCTTCGCATCGAAGAGTTGTTTTCCAAGTACCCATCAAGGTTTGTAGAATCAAGGTTAGGATTGAGGTCGCAGTAAACCTTCAGCTTCCTGTTGTTCCTCTTCCCACCAGTCCTTGAACGTTGTCAATCTTTTGGTTCTTTCTATCGCCATTCGTTTGCCTGGAGCTGTCTTCATCATTCCTCCTAGTTTCTCCAGTTTGTCTTCGAAATGCTGAATGGTCTCTCCCATATCCCTTGCACCTTTTGCTCCGCCGAATGTGAACGTTCTTCCAATTCCAATCGCGCCTGCAGTAAAAGAAAAATTTAGCTTCGTCTTCTTGTCGTTCAATTTCAAGGATGCAGCCTTACCAATAGCATCGAGCCGGTCAGCATCTTGGACTATAGCCAGCTCTGGGTATTTCTCGATCATGCCCCTCACTGATGCCATATCCTTGATCTCACTCGAATACGAAACTCCGAGAACGATTCTCTGCACTTTGACGGCCAGCTTTTCTTCGGCCCCAAAACCTAATAGTGTTGATAGCACCAAAGTATTTGGATCCTGCCCAGGTAAGAGATACTTCTTGTCGCCTACATCATGCAAAAGTGCCGCCAAAGTGACAACCTGTAGATCTAATTCTGGGCCGCCTATCCTCTCTGCCTTAAGCTCCTTGTATATCCTATGCGCCAGCCCAACAACGCGTCGAATGTGGTTGAAGTCGTGAGATCCATCATATGCGCTCATGTATTTCTCGACAAAAGCTGTAACTTGCACAATCAGACCAGCATTTTGTGCCATCTTCGGTTTGGTATTGTTTGGTTTCGGTGTAATTGTGGAAGGTAGGTGAGACGATGGAGTATTGATAACTGCGGGGCCTTCTGAGTATTCGCGAAATTCAGAATAACGAGACCTTCGTCGCATACCGAGCTTTTGTCGTAAGCGGCCCAGATTCGATCTTTTTATTTCGAACCCTTCGGAAATCAAAGCTTGAGTAATTTGGTCATCATTGAGATTTGAATTATAATGATAAGTTAATCGATCCTGGAGAGCTTGAGGGATGGGTCCGCGATTTCTTTTGCGAACATTCCATGCTGCCAAACTTCGAGACACTTTACGCTCAGAGACATCTAAACCTAATTCTCGATTGAGCTTTCTGGTGATGTTGATGATAGGGGTATTTTCTTCGGCGAAGAGTTTGACTATAAGATCTTTATACGGTTCCAAACTCACGCCAGGAGGACGACCAGGTTTTCGAGATGTGGAATTGATTTCTGGGGTACCATTGTGTTGTTCTAGAAGTTCTTCGGGACTTAGAGTTGGAGGCATAATGAGAAGGGTTGAATGAATTTTGACGACAAGGTCTTATGAAAATCAAACCTATTTTGGCGGGTGGTGTGATGATTCTTTTTCGGTCACCGTATTATATCTCTCACAGAATCGAAACGTCTTCTACAATGCAATGTACACTCGAGACACTCTCGAGATGTCTACATAGAGTACAAGCAAGATGAATATTGACATCGTTTCTCCTTCATATAAATACTGCACGTTTCCAACAGTTTATCCCCAAGTTTTCAAGGCACATATTGGCATCAAAACAGAGGGTTCCTTGATATGTTCCAAATGTCAATGATTTGCTATCTGCTATAACTACCTACCTATGACCGGCTTTTGCTGAATACGATGTCAAACTCAAACTTGCCTCGGGATGAAGGGAGCGGGGGAGCTACTCGGTACTTCCTCGCTCTATCAACAGACCGGTAAATAGGAAGCTTGAGGTGTGGAACCTCGTGAACTTGAGATCTTCCTTCATTCACAGAAAGGGCTCAAGATCATAATTACTATTTGAAAATGTCAGATATGCAATCCAAAGTTAACAGTCGACTCACTCAAGTCACCGATTTCTTAACCGGCAACAAGACTGCCACGACCATTCCATTCGACCCTACTTCCACCAAGTTTCCCAATAGAAAGGATGTTCCACGAAGAGAGGATGCACCCGAAGGAGCGTAAGTAGGATGTGCGGTTTCTAGAAGCTCAACTAACGTCTAAAAGTGCGTGGGTTTGGGGGCCTGATGATTATGTACGTAATTCTGACATTATAATTTTCAATGCCGTTAAACGATTACATAGATTGGAAGATTAAATCTTCTCACCCCAGCTCGAGTCACTGCCGCATCCAATGAAATCCAAAGCGGGGAGATTGTTCCATTGAACCTCCCTTTGAACGTACCAGAAGTACCAGCTTTTCATCGAGAACCGTTTGAGCATAGCATTAAAGAGCTAGCTCCGGGATTGGCGTATGATGATGTATATTCATTAAACACACAATCAGGTACACAATGGGATGGTTTCAGACATATTGCACACATGCCCACAGGCAACTTTTATAATGGGACTAAAGGGAAGGATATAATTGGAGCTGAAAAGGATGATAACAAATGTGGAATTCATCATTGGGCTGAGCATGGCATAGCTGGTCGCGGTATCTTGATTGACTACTGGACGTATGCAAAGGAGAACGGAATTGTCTATGGTAATTAAACACCATCAAATCTATATCATTTCATTGTCTGACACAGATATGTAGATCCATTTGACTATCACACTATATCCTACGCAGAATTGCAAGCTGCCGGAAAAGCCCAAGGTATCGATATCCGCCCCGCTTCCCAAGGCGGCAATATTCAAATCGGAGATCTGCTTTTCATTCGTTCGGGCTTCGTATCTACATACCACAGCAAATCACCAGAAGCACGAAAGGCCGCTGCTCTCAGACCACACGGAATCGGACCTGATGATGGTCAGAGGTGGGCCGGTCTCAAGCAAGATGAGGATATGCTCGATTGGTTGCATGATTGCTACTTTTCGGCTGTCGCAGGTGATGCGCCTGCTTTTGAGGCTTGGCCATCGCAAGAGCATTACATGTTACATGAATATATACTCGCCATGTGGGGTATGCCTCTGGGAGAAATGTTTGACTTGGAGAAATTGGCAAAGATGTGTAGAGAAAAAGGAAGGTGGAGCTTCTTTGTTACTAGTGCTCCGAATCACTGTCAAGGAGGTGTATCCAGTCATGGAAACGCAATTGCTATATTTTGAGAGTTGGCGCAAGTGTAACTTGTCTGTATATCTTCGCCATTCCTTTTTGGGGGGTATTTCATCACATTGCCATGTGTGGTCAATATATAGTTTTCTTCTTTCCATAAATATATACATTGTATCCTTTATCTCCTGCCCCTGAATCAAATCAGACTCATCAAATCCAATAACTATCTCATCTCATCTTGTATTCCTAATGATATTCGACAACCCAAACTGTAAGATTGACAAGAAAAATCAATCAACAGAATGTTATCCGCACACCAAGTATATATATCCCCAAAATACAATTCATCTCCCAAATCCATCGAATGCATGTTCAAATTTGGCGAAATTCTTCCAAATCTCGTTGGAAATAAAGTACTAGGTTCTACTATGTTTGGAAATTGATGTCCGGAAAGTCTGCGCTATAAAAAATTTTATAGTGCGATGTATCCTCGAATCTTTTGTAGTATCCTCCTCCTCCTCTGCTTCTCCTGCTTTTCCTTCTTCTTCTCCTTATATACCTCTCATCATACGCCTACCCCTACACCTAATGCCCCAATGAAATAACTCCCGCGACATTAAAAATGTTCAAAAACGAGAAATTACTAAAAGTACTCACGAATTTGATATTATCGCAGAAAAGACATAAGACAGTGATTGATTCATGAGAAAAGACCAGTGCTTAAGTTAATAGATTATGAAAATCCATCGACATCTTTGCTCGTATGATCACTACTTTTTGCAGGATGTGAATACACATAGATTATTCATACGTAGACAAACTACCCGAGTGGATTCAAGTTATCACTTATCTTTAGGTAAAATCTAAACACCAATAAAGCTATAACCAAGGCACCACTGCAGAAGACTATCTTCGTATACGAATCCATCCTATTCTATCTCTCCATCCAAACTACCACTAACACCATCCAGCATCTCATTCCCAACCTTCCAAAGCAATTTTTTTTTAATCTTCATTCGACTCCGTCTCATCCTCACTCCTCTCCTTCATTTCCTTATTCCAAGTATTTCCCTTCCCCCTCCCTCCCTTCTTCCCCTTAACACCCTTTCCCCTCAATCCAACCGGAACCTCCTTCTTCACCACTCCATTCTCGAACAATACCCCAATATCTGCTCGTCTCGCAATAACCTTTTTCCACACATTCTTACTAATAACACCTTCATCATCCCCCTCGCTTAATATTCCCCCATTGCCGGTTTTGTACCATTTGATCTCGGGGTGAGATTCAAGAGTTGATTTGAGAGAGATGTAGATGGACACATCTGCATCGTCTTTACTAGTGGATGAAGAGGTTCGAGCCTCGGTCCCATCAGAGGAGACAGAGATACTAGAAAATGCTAGATGAGCTTGCCCGCCTGCTTTTTTGATACCTCCGGAAGCGAGAATGAGTGGGTAGTTTGCGTACGAGGTTTCGTAAACGACGAGATCAGGTAGATCTACGGTGGAAGCGGTGAGAAGTTGAAGGGAGATAGAGGAGAGATTTGTTGAGGTGGTGGTTGTGGGAGTAGAAGAAGTGTTGAGACGAATGAGGTAGTTGGATGGAGATTCTGACTCGGATTCGGATGAGGTAATCGACTTTATGGTGAACCGGGATTTTGCAGAAGGAGACTGAATGATGTTTTGAAGTTCTAAGAGATTGAGATCAAGGGAATTGAGGTCATCGAGCTATGGAGCTGTTAGGTGATTGATGCCTGGAAAATGACGTTTTTGTTGGACGAGCAAATTCAAATGTCGTGAAAGTTCTAAAACTCAGGTCATTTGTACTTACGACTTTTGCACAATTGAGCCAGCCCTCAGAACTAGCGGCAAGCTTCTCTGAGTCCTCTCCCTGTTCCTGGTCTTGTTCTACTGAACGTTTGAGAATCTTGGTAAGGGCTCGAGTGATAGTAGAGTCGCGTTCCGCAATAATGCTGTAGCCTCTCTGACGAGTCTTCTTATTATTGGAGATACTTCCTCCATGTTTACCTCTACCGTGTCTAGATTGATTGTTGGAGATGGGAGAGGGAGCCATGATCTCTCTATCAAGAGTCATGGCTGAAAGTGGTTGCATGACAGCAGCTGCCATTGTGCTGTTTTCAATGAAAGACTGGAAAAAGAATTGGTTTATGTAAGAGTTGTACACACTAAAAAGAACCAAAAGCTGAGAGAATGGTGATACAGCTTTTTCAGACAAGGAAATACCGTGAGATATAAGAGATGAAGACTTGCGGTAACACAGCTTACATGCCATCAACAAGGAAGTATCATTATGATCATGTCGTATTGATTCGCCAAGCACACAACGTTTCAGTCGCGGGACATCGGGCCATGGCATCTATCCCCTACATCACTTGTAACGAGTGATTTACGTTATATGGCGGGGGCGGGACTTGCAATAATCCAAAATCTGATTGAAAGGGCAACCGCGGGGTGATATCTAGCGGTGTGGACCCAATATATGTAACCTCAAAGAGGTTAACCACTCTAAAAGAGACACCCACTCCGTAATAGAATGCACACAATACCTCATGCGATCATCTGGGTCCAATCGTTCATAAGGCTAGAAGCGGTGTGTATCACTGGCATGCACGTGATCTAGCGGCTGCAGCATAACTCGAGATTCTTTTGTGATAGCGGAACGTATTGCCTTTGAGAAAGTCGATTCCAGATATGATACTCTCTAGGAAGGATGGAAAACCCGGAATATCGAATCACTCAAATAATCATACACTGAAAACACTTATATTCCAAATACTTTATCATAATATACATATTCATTCAAAATACAAAGATCTTAAATATTTGTTGGCTTTGAAGCTCATGAGTTCGTTTATTCAAACTTCAATCCGAAATAATGATTACCTGGGTTGATTTTGAATATTGAAAAGAGCTTGTATGTTCGGTGTCCCGCTAGAGATACAATACGAGGCATGCATTTCAGTCACTCCGTGGCACTAGCTTGGCGGAGAAAGAAGTAGCATGTTCTTTTATCTGACTCAGTACTAGTTATGCCACTTTTGAATGTGAAATTAGAGCGTCTCATTCAGAGACTTCATGGTTGGGAACACTAGCTGATTAAACCAGAATAATGAAGCATAGAGCGAAATGACCACAAGCAAGTCAAAATGTGAATGGTGCTCTCAGTAGGGCGTTATCTGTATTGATGAATTACAACAGGTGTCCGATATAACTCCGTAGTTTTGTTCACCAGTTCTCTGTTGCGGTGTGAAGTACAGTAGAAGAATAGACTTACTAGCATGAACCTATTAATAATTGGAGTAGGGTAGATCCTGTTTCATGCCCAAGCTATTCATAGACTGGTAGCTTAACGCCTCGCGCTTTCCGACCTATCCCATTACTTTCAAAGAACTCCCTTTTTTGTAAGTACTCATACAGGTGCACACAAAACGATCATACTTATGACCAAAGCTCGCTATATGAATTTCGAAAGCTGTTGAAATGATTCGTAGTGGGCGCACATCCACTCTCGTCTCTCGCGGCCTCCGCATTGGACATCCATTCTTGCATTTGTGTTATTCGATTGCTATTCTGGTATGGGTCAGTCCTACTATTCTTAACCAAGTATCAAAGCACCTACCGATGGATGAGTTGAAAACCACTCAGGCGGAGCATTCTTCTCTGCGGCCTGCATCCTCTCCCACACGCCTACTGCTGCGTGAGGATCATAACAGCTCTTTGCCATGATCATCAGACCAATATGATCAGCTTCGGTTTCCTGGTTTCTTGATGCCGGTAAATTCATGCCAAATTCAAGTGCGAGAGCCCCCAGTATTTCACCTAGACCTCCAGTATATCCTGTAGCGTCCAAGAATCGAAACAATATACGCAAGGGCATATAAAATACCGCGGTTTTACTCATTGTTTCTCCCATATGATTTGCGATATTATGCGCAATTTCATGACCAAGAATCTGCGAGATTGATAAGTTAGTGAATGCCGATAAAAGAAAGATCAGGAGGAAAATATACTGTAGCAAGGCCGTCATCTGTTTTAGCAATCGGCAATATTCCTGTAAAGACAAATACTTTGCCTCCAGGTATAACAAAGGCATTCATCTCTGTGAAAATTAGGGTAAGCTAATCGATATCTAAAATAAGTATTCAGTTTCTTATTCACCTTGCGACTCTATCACATTTACTTCCCAGTTTACGTTGTCGATGCCACTCGCAGGTATTAGTCGACTCATAACTCTCTGTACCATCTGGGTCCTCTTATCCCAGTCGGGAAGAATATGGTTATGGTACTGCCGCAATATCTGTTCATACGCCATCTGCCCTTCTGCTTCCATGTCCTGATGACTGTATATATTGAACCGCCTCCTTCCTGAAACCGGCACATCCTCGATATTGCTGGCATAAACCAATATACCACCACCCGCTATTAGGGCTATGAATGAGTGTAAAGCAGGATGTTTGGTGAAGTTTCTGATATGTTGCTCGGTCAAGAGAGGGCGTGCATTGCGAGCTTCATTAGGATCAAATCTGTAGTATCTCTGCCTGCGGTTTTGGTAGCTTCGTGAATGGGATGGATTGATAGATAGATATGACCATCTTGGTAACTTATATTGGGTGACAGACAATGGCTGCAGGAGAGGGGTAGTATTAGGAGAATGTGCGATCGCGTTGCGAAGCGATAAACCTCGCAAGATAGATCTGGATATCATCTCTCGTCGGTTATTCTAATAGAAAACAATAACAATAACGGTATGTGGCAGCGAAGTTGAAGAAAATTTGCGTTGGAATTGGCGATGCGAATGGATTCCTTGTGAGCATTACTCGAATTAGGTGCCTAGTAGTCACCCCAAGCGTCATTTCAGCTGATAAGGAAAATGATAGCAATCAACTCAGACGTGATGTAACAAACATATGCATAGAGAGAGAGGAGAGGAGAGGACAACCAATTATTTCTCAAGCATGAGATATATCGTACAGACTCCAGACTTAACGTTGTTTGAGGTATTTGCCATTCCGTAACTAGGTAGGTATTTTATTGACCAGAATTCCTTTAGAAAGTGTCGAGATTTTTCGAGAACGATGAACGATTGTCTACTCGTATACTTCGTACTACTAGGTAGGTACGATATGTAAGGGGCGAGGGGGCCAAAGAAGCTTACCTCGAGACTTACCTAAAGAGCAGAGCTACCCCACTACCATGCCATGGGACAACACCCTTTACCACTGACGTATCCCCCGTATCCCCCTCAGATCTCGAACCACTTTCCTTGGCGGATTGTCCCTTTGAATAACGGTGAATGAATTTCCTTTTCAGGTTCTGTTGCTATCCATTTCAATATCGTAGGTCTTTGCTTTGGCACAAATAACAAAAGCCCGGAATTCATATTATCCTCTTCTCAACCGTTGTGATCAAAGGTTCCCGGTACACTTTACCAAGAGCTACTTGAGATTCTACTTGAACTCAATCTACATTCAAAATGATGGAAATTAGTGCAACAGCGGCAAAGATCACTCACGGTCTCTTCCAGAATACACATCCTCTCAAAGCAAAATGGAATCGCATTAATGGAGTTCAACTCCCAAGATCCTCTCATAGTGTCTCGGTCGTCGCAGGTCGAGCATATATATTCGGAGGCGAAATCGATCCACGCGAACCAGTCGACAATGATATGCATGTCATCATTCTTCCTTCTGGCACAGTCACAAGCGCCGACTATCGAACTATTGCTGCCAAGCCTACACATAATGGTGGTGACGTTCCAGAAAAGAGAGTAGGACATACAGCGGGAGTCATCGGAGAACGAATCTTTATCTTTGGTGGAAGAGGTGGCCCAGAGATGAAACCTCTTGAAGAAAATGGCAGAGTTTGGGTCTACGATACTAGGACAGATAAGTGGTCTTTCTTGGATCCAGCTCCTGGCACGCCATTTCCAGCTGCGCGATCTTACCATTCGAGTGTTGCTATCGAAAAACCTGAGCCATCAAATATGAAGAGTGCAGACTTCGATCAGGCTATTGATGAAACTAAAATTGGCACAATTGCAGAAGGTGCTCAGACAGATGAAGAGCAGGGTGGTCATGGAACATTCTTCATCCACGCAGGATGCCCGGTCTCTGGACGAACAAATGATCTCTGGGCATTTGATGTTCGAAGCCGTACGTGGAAAGAATTTCCTTCTGCTCCAGGAAAGCCCAGAGGTGGTACATCACTCGCAGTTTCAAAACAGAGGATCTACCGATATGGCGGTTTCAATGGTGAGGGTGAGGAAGGTGGCTATCTTGACATTCTAGAATTGGCTCTTCAAACTTTCAACGACAAATCTGGTTCAGGAGAATTGGGAATCACTCCGAAAGGGGATTGGGAAACTTTGAACTTTGAAGAGGAGAGTATGAAACATCCCGGTCATAGAAGTGTGGCCGGCATGCATACCATCAATACTGGTAAGTTTCTACTTTATGTAATCAGTTTCTAGCTACATTAGGACGCAGTCTGTTTGTACTATCCATAGAATGAAAGCTAACAATTTGTAGGTATGGGCAGAGAATATTTGATTCTCTTACTTGGTGAGAAAGATCCAAGTAGCGAAGGTCATGCTGGGGCTGGCAGGTTCTGGAGTGATGTTTGGGCTTTTCAATGTCCTCCCCAAGGCATGACTGCAGCAAGTTTTAAGGATGCTACCTGGCAAGCACTAGGTCGACAAACTGGTGAAGGTCTTTGGAGTCAGATAGTCGTTTCAGACTCTGAGGGTGTCGAAGGTGATGACGTCAGAAAGCTTGTTCCTGGCGAGCGTGGATGGTTTGCAAGTTCGTCAATGAGCGATGTTGACTTCAGAGGTATTCTCTTGTGGGGTGGTCTGAATGGAAAGAATGAACGTGAAGACAATGGATGGATCTTAACAATTGAATGAAAGCATAGCGACGAGAGAAATTAGGGCGTTTGGAAACGGCGACAGCTTTACTTAAAATACCATGAATAATGAATATGAATGAAATGAAATGACATATCTTAACGAGACGAATTCTATCATTGTTCGAGGTAGCTCACGTAAAATGTTGTGATAAACATCGTGAGATATTCGAACGCTGATATTTCGATAACACACCGACATGCCTTGAAGTGATAGGTAATTGATCAGAAATAAACTCGTCAATAGTGAAGAACACTTTATCCATAGATCTCAACAAGACATTTTGTTTTTAAAAGATTGAATTGTCATTGGATTTTTAATCGCGATATATCATCTGAACAATCTCATGTGGGCCATCCCATCTTCCCCTTCACGGAGCTCGCCTCGCCTAGCTAGAAATGATAACGACCCCTCGTCGACCCCTCTTCTACTAAACCACAGCTACAAGCATATATAACATCAACACCTCTCAACCACCTACAACGCATTCTAGAACTTACCCAGGTCTACAACAGCGTTGCAGGTACCCAACCATGCTATCCCATTTCCCTCCCCACTAACCACCCCCAGGCCCAAAATGTCCCACGAAGCAGCCCTCACATCTTCCGCCGCGCAAGCCATTGCTCCCGATCTCTTCCCCCCACGCACCCCTCTCAGCACCTCCCAAATCGAAGCCAGCATAACCGCCTGTCTCACCGTACAGCGACGGGCGGTCACCCAAGGAAAACGACCCTTTGCCGCCGTGCTCCTGGGCCCCGACAACGAAACCGTACTCCTCACACACCAAAGCATCGATCAAGTAAACCACGCCGAGAGCTCGCTGGCCAAACTCGCGTACTCGCATTATACGAAAGAGTATTTGTGGAGATGTACGTTGGTTAGTACGTGGGAACCTTGTGCTATGTGTTCGGGTATGTTATAATTATATTTCCACGTTTTCACTTGCGAGTCTCGCTGTTTGAGAGGGAGATTGTAGTAACCGTACTTGCATGATGATTTAGCGACGATTTATTGGGCGCATATTGGAAGAATCGTATATGCGGCGACGAATGAACAATTGGCGGGTCTGACGGGCCCCGGGAATCGAGAGAATTTTACGTTGAAATGGCACACGAGAGATGTTTTGGAGGGGCAGCAGAAGGATATTGAGATTATTGGGCCGGTGGAGAAGATGGATTTGGTGGTTGTGGAGGAGAGTGATAAATATTGGTGTACTACTAGAGCTCGTGCATGATATGATTCATATGGTAGTGACTTTTTGTGCTATAATGAGATATATGCTATATTAGTCTCAAAGGGTGTCAGATGGATATGCTCCAGTTTTGCGGTGAGTTGATGCACGATTCATATAGGAATATTACTGTATGAATTATTACCAGTTCTTCAAAGTGGAGAGATACTTCGCGCGTGTCGTATACGCAGTTAGACTGCTGCGAGAATCAAATATTAAATTCCAACTGCTTTAAATGTTGGTAGTTGTCTCTCTCTAGCCAATGGCATAGCTATCCTAGGTTCCAACGTGCTGTGCCTTTATACCCATGAATCTTTTAATACTGTTGGACATATAAAGCGAGGAAAGTTGTGGAGTTTTCTCAGTTTCCAGTTTCATTGCATTGTCAATTTCTATATTTCCGATTTTGAGTGTTCAGCATTGAGCGTTATGGCTCCCCTGGTGCTTACACTGGTAGTTCTTCTACCTGTGAGCTTTGCCTTCTGGAACCTGGTTTGTCTGGTCAAGAACTATAGGATTGCTCTGAAGATTGGCATTCCCATTAGGATTCTCATTGCAAGTGGTGATAATCCAGTAGTGAGTTACACATGATTTAATCTGTCACCGATGTTACGAGCTCTTACGACTAGACAACATTTTATATCTATCCATCTTTACCCTCACTTCCTTGATATTATGGTTATACTGATATATTGTGATTAGTGGATTCTTGCATCAGGCATCGTGCTTCCTATTGTAAAGGCTATATTCGGCGATTGTGATATCGTTCGGTATAGCACACCCGGCTGGGAGTTCAAAGACAAGTACACCATGCACCAAAAGCTTGGTAGTGCAGTTATTCATGTCTCAGCTGGTCGTAACTGGTTGTATCTCTGCGATTCCGATTCAGTCAATGAAGTTTTCAAGCGCAAAGATGATTTTGATAGACCTCCAGATTTGCTTGGTGAGAATGATGTCGTATCTTCATGTTGTGCTTAAGGGCTAATCGTAACAGCGGTTTTGTCGGTTTTCGGACCTAATATCTCGACGGTAGGTGATCGTGATATTGAATTCTGATAGACTGCTGTAGCTGACTTGGTTTTAGGCTGTAGGTCCAGACTGGCAGCGTCAGCGCAAAATTACCAGTGCTCCTTTCAATGACAAAAACAACCGGCTAGTTTGGATCGAGGGCTTAAGACAAGCAGATGAAATTTTGCAATTCTGGAAATCTCTACAAGGTCCCATTACCCGAACAGATAAGGATACTCGTACATTCTCACTTCATGTGCTATCGGGAGCTGGATTCGGGAAATCCTACTCGTTCAAAAATTCTACCGAACAACCCGAAGCAGGACATACTTTCAATTACCGAGACTCTCTTGCACTTGTGCTAGAGAATTGTCTCCTTATCCTTGTACTGGGTCCTAAGCTTGTCTCTAAGTTATCCTGGCCGCTAAAGTGGAAGCGGATTGGGCAAGCAACAGTTGATTTCAAATTTTACATGGCTGAGATGCTGAAGGATGAAAAAGATGCCATTGCGCATGGGAAACCCAGAAGCGCGACGTTCACGAGTTCTTTACTTAGAGCTTCTAAAGAACAATCTCAATTGGGTCTAAACGGCTCTGCTCCAAGTGGCTTTCAGGGGCTCACCGAAGAGGAAATATATGGAAACCTCTTTGTTTACAATTTTGCTGGCCATGATACGACGGCCGTTGTACTGAACTGGACAATCTATCTTCTTGCTGCTCATCCAGAAGTTCAAGAGTGGATCTCGCAGGAAATAAACACTGTTATAACCAACGACATGCCATCGACTTGGGATTTCAAGGAAATATATCCGAGATTGAATAGATGTCTCGCCATAATGGTCAATAGCCCCCCGCTCACATGATAATACGATGATGCTGACAGAAATGCTACGAAATAGCTAGAGACTGTAAGACTTTACAATCCACTCATCGGTATCTGCAAATCTACCTTCGAAATGCCACAACCGCTTACGGTCGATGGCCGAACCATCACTATTCCGCCCGACACGCGCATTATTGCGAATTCAAACGCCCTACACTCACACCCGCGATACTGGGGTGATAATAGTCTCGAATGGCAGTATGTTTACCCTTATTTCTTGTACATGCTATTAATGAAAACTACTGACTCCCTATTCTTGCAGTCCCCAACGCTGGATCTTGACCAAAGCCGAAAATGCACACTCTTCTCCCGTAGAACGTGAATATATCCGCACTCCACCCAAGGGATCATACCAACCATGGTCTGATTCGATCCGAGCATGTCCTGGTAAGAAATTCAGCCAAGTAGAATTTGTAGCGGCCATGGTTGCGTTGTTCAAGAGAAACCGCGTGGAGATTGTGCGGGAGGAGGGAGAAACGGAAGAGGAAGCAAAGGAGAGGGTTATGAGTGTGGTGAAGGATAATGTTATTGTTTTGTTGTTGCAGATGAGGAGCCCTGAGAAGGTGGGTGTTAGATGGGTTAGTAGAGTGTAGATGGTTTTCCAATAGAGGGGTAGGTAGATGATTGTTGGAGCTTGGGTTATGGTGGTCTTCTAGAAATTGAAGTAATACTAGAGAATGAATTTTGATCGGCAGCACAATTTGAATCTTGCTTGGGATAAACTTGTTTCATGGCCAACAGCTTGAAGTGTCGACCCCTGAAGTACTTTCCGAACACTTTGGTGTTGCATGATGAAGGAAGCTGGAAGGCAGTATTGCTTAAATATGACATTGCGCAAGTTCCAGGTTGCGACCGAAGTACTTGCGCAGAATTACACTGCCGTGAGAGATATCTGAGGTCGTTTAAATTCACCTTTCTTTAAACGTCGAATCTCCATTTCTGGATCCGATCGACTCGATCATACACTCTGGGAACTGGGCGTTCCAATGGCAGTGAATTGGAAGAAGAAGAATTAGAGTTAGCAAGCACAGTGAATCCAGATCATTTGAATACCTAGAACCATGTTAACTTTGAGGCTTAGCGATCAAAGAATCTAATTCCATTCACCCCTTTAGGTCAACTTCCTCCTACAAGTACTGTGGTATTATGGGCCAACCCTCGAAAAATATCTCTTCAGTCTTGATATCGAAAAGAACCTACCCCGGCAAACACTGTCACTTACAGAGGTGGATTTAATCTGAAACGTAAAACTAAGAAAGTGGTCATGCGATAGCCACTACTGAGCCAATATCCGTATAAGTTGACTGCCGGGCAGAAAAATATACTCTTTCGGAGAAATATCAAGAGGGGTTCAGACTCTCATCTCTTGCCTTCATTGTTGCTATCGCTCACAGCTCTTCACTGCCACTCACAGCACTATCGTTGTCACTGCCATTTACATCATAGCAACCCAATCAGACGAAACTTATTGGCAGCCACTGGGCGTGATTGAATCTCCGGAAAAAAGATTATGGTTTCATTAGACAGAAATTCTGACCATTGCGTAACAAACTTCCGGGTAAAATAACTCATTGCTTGGAACATTGTTGTCTTGCTGGAATTCAATCGAGCAAATAAACAATGCAAAGATTTGGAAAGAATTGTTCGGTTCGAGAAGATGATGAAGATAATATAAAGAATTCCGCAGCATGAAAGCTCAAGCTTGAAAGACTTACTGAGAACTGACCAGGAGAGGATATAGCAAATTGGACATAGGTTGTCGAGCCGTTGGCAAATGTTTACACTTCTCATTCATACGAATTTTATATTTCCCCAACTAAGATATCAAAACGAATGATAGGTATCGAATTATCTGCCAGTCCAACTCCCAGAGACCTAGTCTGTTATAATATTGCGTTTGTCCCGTGTACTTATTTCTTATGTGGTGAACTTGAAAGAGTATGCGAGCTCATTGTCTTACTCCATACTATGGAGTAGGTGAATCATACTCGAGGTGTGAAAATAAAACAACGGACGAGAGAGCTTGGAAGCTTGAAGAGAAAACTTGGTAGAGAGGAGAGTTCCAATAATCTTCAGATGAATCGAAGAATTCATTTATCAACTATAAGCTGGTGGAACAAAATAGAACAAGACAACAACTTCAGTCGCCAAAGCATATTTCTGCCAAGCAAATCGTACAGATTCATGCAACTATCCGCACTTGGCAATCTATTAGTGAGGTACGCCTTCCAACTATTTCAATACGATTGATATGATGAAACTTCACTCGATATTCTCATGTCAAAATTTTGATATAAACTCGTAATTTTTCTATTATTGTTCGTGATATTCGCGGCCTCGCCTGAAGATAGAAGGTCTATCAATGCTTACAGACTGGTAAACTCCACTTTTGCTCGAGAGATAGATTGGGTTTGAACTTTGGTTTGAGCTTATCGTACCTGAAAATATGCACAGGGCGAGGAATGTTCTATGCTTGTCGCTGCATTTCGACTCTTGGGATGATTGATAATTCTTCAATTCATGAAAATATCAAAGAGAATGGTGGAGGCAGGGAGGCAGGGAGGCAGGCTATTCGCAGGAGAAAAAACAGGCGGAATTTGACAATTTAAATCTTCATTAAAATCCTCTAGTTTAATTGAATAATAAATCATTTACAAATATTTTATATAAATTCAAGGAGATCAAAAGAGATTTTAGCTCCTTATTGTTTAGATAACATTTCGAAATTCCATTTTATATAATATTGAAGAAAAATAATTGAATTATAAAAGATATTGTAGAAGTGGTCGAGTCCCGCCTGTTTTTTCTCCTACGAATAGGCAGGGAGGCAGGCTCGAGGCCCGGGTGCCGTCACTTCCTATCTACTACGCCTTCTCGCCTTTTCTTATTCATCTTGATTCATTTACATGATCAACGAAATATTCATTACTGATATCATTGGGTCTATCAAACCATAACGGTTGACTGGTGAATAAGTAGCTATTCACTAAACTCTAACAGGCAGGTGCTCAGAGGACCGAGGCGATTAAGAGAACTAAAGCTGGTAAGCGAGCCTATCTTGACTTTTTGATATCTCCAGTTTATCAAAAACGGGGAAAGATATACTAGCGTCCAATCCATTCCCCTCGTACCTTTCAACACCATGTCAATTCATGTCATATCTTCACGATTATAGGTTGAGATTGGGTTACATCGTGTGTAAGGTACGGCAACTACGGTGAAAGGATGGTGAATCTTTAATGTCTTAGTTCAAGAACCATGAATCAGGACTAGGGTAGTCCCTCCACAACGTCATAATCATGGAAATTTACATGAGATGACAGCTCCGATAGCTCTACGAGTAAGCTCTCATTACTTTTCGGATAGCAGCTTTAAAAATACTTAAAGCTCTCCCAGATCCCTCGTATCGAAGGTTTCCTTCCACACCCGCAATATTTTCACACGATCCGAGTTTTGTTACTTGACGGATCAGCCAAGATGCGTTTCTCAACTGTAGTTTCGACTCTTGCCATTGCAGGTGGAATCGCCGACGCCACTCTTCATTCTGGAAGAAGTTTGAGGCATGTTGGAAAGAAGGACAAGCAAACCCACAAAGCTAGGGATACGGCTCCAAGAGGAGAGCAGAAACATGAAAAAAGGGATGCTAGTTTTCCATACTTGACTAATTCCACTGCTAGTAAGTATTTCGAATGCAACATTGTAGGAAAACCACTAATAACTTTGACAGAATTCAGTGTGAATGGTTCCGCTATCCCAGATGTACCTTTCGATGCTGGAGAATCATATGCTGGTTTGTTGCCAATTTCAAAAGCCGCAAATGAGACGAGAGAATTATACTTTTGGTTCTACCCATCGACAAATGAATTGGCTTCCGATGAAATTCTCATTTGGCTTAACGGAGGTGTAAGTGACTTCACCGATTGTAAATACATATCCACAACATTTGACTAATTGGTATCCCAGCCCGGATGTTCATCCCTCGAAGGATTAATTCAAGAAAACGGACCTTGGATCTGGCAATACGGTACCTACGCTCCTGTTCAGAACCCTTGGACCTGGGTAAACCTTACCAATGTTGTTTGGGTCGAACAACCTGTTGGTACTGGTTTTTCCCAAGGTATACCTACTGCTACCAGCGAAGAAGAAGCCGCTGCCCAGTTCCTCGGATTTTGGGAGAATTTCGTCGACACTTTCGATTTGCAAGGGAGAAAGATCTTCATCACTGGTGAATCGTATGCGGGATACTATGTTCCATACATTGCCGATGCTATGTTTAACAAGAATGATACTTCTACTGTGAGTACACCCATCTCATCAATTGAATATGAATTGAATCTGACGATCAATAGTATTACAACCTCGAAGCAACCATGATCTACGACCCTTCTACTTCTTACGATGCCGTTCAAGAACAGATCCCCGCAGTTCAATTCGTTGATTATTGGGGTGGTCTCTTCCCCTTCAATGATTCCTTCGTTGAACAAATTCACAACGTGTCTGATTCTTGCGGCTACACCGATTACCTCGCCAAGTACCTTACATACCCACCACCCGGGCCATTCCCATCCGCTCTCCCTGGCACAGGCGACGATGGAATTTCTACCACTGATGAGTGCGACGTCTTTGATTTGATCTACAATGAAGTCTTCAGCGTCAACCCTTGTTGGGACATTTACCAAGTAGCCACCACCTGCCCTCAACTCTGGGACGTTCTCGGATTCCCCGGCTCTAACCCCTATCTACCTGCCGGCGCCTCCGTCTATTTCAACCGCACCGATGTTCAAAAAGCTATCAACGCTCCCGCCATCGAATGGGAATCATGCTCTAGCATTGACGTCTTCGTAAACGGAACAGACAATTCTCTCCCCTCCGGTCTCTCCGTCCTCCCCTCCGTCATCGAACGTTCCAAACGTACCGTTATCGGCCACGGCGCTTTAGACATGGTCCTCATCGCCAACGGCACTCTCCTCATGATCCAAAACATGACCTGGGGCGGAGCTCAAGGTTTCACAAGCAAACCCTCTGATCCCTTCTACGTCCCATACCACACCGAGCTCTCCGACTCCACTCTTGCTGCTTCCGGAGTCTTGGGTACAACACACACAGAGCGAAACCTCACATTTGTGTATATCGATTTGAGCGGTCATATGGTTCCTCAGTATGCTCCTAGTGCGTCATATAGAACGCTCGAGTATCTGTTGGGAAGAATCGATAGTCTGTCTAGCACAGCGCCATTTACCACACAGGAGGATGTCGTGCAGAGTACGGCTCCCCTTGGAAATGGTACCGGACCGCCAATCAAGAGACAGTATGTTGGGGGTATGCAATTTTAGATGTGATGGGTAATGGGTGTGTGGAAGTGGAGAGGAATAGATAGAGAGATGATGCATGATTGTAATGTGTATGATGAAATGAAAATATGAATTGATTCTCAATACCAGGATGAAAAATAATCTGTGACTCGAAATTATTGTGTGAAAGGGCTCACCGGGGATTGTGCATATTGACGGAGCTCGCCGGCACACACAGTGAACAAAATAAACCATAATCCAAGACGAATCATTCCGATTTTACATCCAAATTTGAAACATCC